GACAACGCGGAGGACGCGGCTCGGTGCAAGCAGTTGAGGAGCTCGTTCGAGGCCAGCTGCCCCCAACAGTGGGTAAGTCCCGGGCGCTCGGCCTCACCTCGGGGTAGGACTGGAGGGACAAGGTCACGGGGGAGGGCGCGCGGTGGAAGCCACCAGTTGGTTGTTATTGCTGGAGAAAGTGACAGTGCGCGGCCGGATTCTGGGGAAGGGACAGTGTTGTGATAATTTCTGCAGGAGTCCATAGCCTCTCTCACAGTTCCGTCATCCAGCAGCTTAAAAAGAAAGTTCTTTTCTTTTTAACTTTGTTCCGGTTTCTGCCAACTCCTATAAAGTGCAGACTGAGAGGTGTGTCCAAAACCACGCTCGTGGGGGCGGGGGGAGCGCGGGTGGAGCGTCGTGGGAATGTGTTCTGAGAAAGACACTAGGTTTTATTTGCTAGGATTTTCATCAGTGTTGGGAGGCCTTGAATTCAGTTTTAGGCACTAGAGAGGAGAAACAGTTGTCCAAAACGAGCCAGCCACCGTGTGGAGAGAGGATTTGAACTTGGGTTCTTAACTTGGTCTTTACTCTGCTGTACAGCAGTCCCTTGAGAAAGAGAAGGGTTGTGCTGTGCAGTACAAGGCCACGAGAACCAGGACTGTGGGTGACTGGAGTGTTCAAAGAGCAGCTTCAGGAGGAGATCCGCTCCCGGGAGAGGCTGAGTTCTGGGCAGGTTGTTGTCAACAGCATAACACTGCTTTCAAGGCAAAGGATAGTGTATTTTGCAGCCAAATATGAGCACAGATTGAAGTTTCCCTTAATACCACGTGGCAGAAGTTTCATTAAGTTTTATGGGAACAGAACACAATATACAAATACATGGGTGGAAATGCAGGTTAAGTCCGTTCATTACAGCAAAGCAGGAAAGCCTGTGCTGGGCCTCAGAGGCTGTCACATGACATGCTTATTAGCCTTTGGGGTGGTGGGAGCCAGTGAGTGGTTTCACCTGTCACCAGGGTGTGAAATCAGTCACAGAGGTGGGCAAGGAATTCAGAGGGCTAAAGACGGACCCTCAACTTCAAACCTCTCCAAAGCCACTCAAGTTCTGATCAGTAGGATTAGGCCTGTGGAAGGTTCGATGTAAGGTGTGGCTTTTCCCCGTTCATATTGGACTGTGATACCTCAGGCGCCGCTAAATGTAACTGTCTCTGAGCACAACAGATACCTCGATTAACTTTTCACAGAACAGGAGGGACATTGTATGCTTTTAAGTCTGATATTCTTTTATATAGCACCCATTCTAGTGTAGTCAATTCAAGACCACCAGGGATAAATCTCCATGCTGACAGTGAGATTTTTGAATACCTTGTCATAACACCCCAGAAGGACAAAGGCCATCAAACCACAGGGGATTTTGAGCAAGGATGGGGCTTTGGATGTGAAGCAGTGATGTCACGGCCTCAGAGCAGAGCTGTGCATCAGCAGGACCTCAGGGCTCAGGACTGAGGTAAACCCAGAGTCCTGTTTTCCATCATGTTCAGAAACTATATGTGAATTCGTACATAGGTGGGCAGTTAGGGAGGCTTCTCTCTGAAGGTGCCTTGGATACTCTGGGCAGGTGTGTTACATTTCCTTCTGATGGAACTTTAAGGAGCGAGTCTGTCTATGTGCGGTGGTAGACTCAGTGAAGGAGAAAGCCGTGTTCAGGCAGGCTCCATTAAGACATGCACTGAAGGTTTTTAAAAAAAAAATCAGCATTTTGTGGTTTCCAGTGCAAACATGAGGCATCCTAAACCTGCCCTGTCTGCAGAGCTGCTGGGATACAGGGCTGGGGCAGCGGCATCCTACATCTGCCCTGTCTGCAGAGCTGCTGGGATACGGGGCTGGGGCAGTGGCATCCTACACCTGCCCTGTCTGCAGAGCTGCTGGGATACAGGGCCGGGGCAGTGGCATCCTACACCTGCCCTGTCTGCAGAGCTGCTGGGATACAGGGCCGGGGCAGTGGCATCCTAAACCTGCCCTGTCTGCAGAGCTGCTGGGATACAGGGCCGGGGCAGTGGCATCCTACACCTGCCCTGTCTGCAGAGCTGCTGGGATACAGGGCCGGGGCAGTGGCATCCTACATCTGCCCTGTCTGCAGAGCTGCTGGGATACAGGGCCTGGGGGAGCGGCACTCTGGCACATGTGCGTTTTCCTTGGGTTTGATTTCGACTTGTAGAACATGGGACTTTTCAGATGCCGCATGAAGAGGATGATATGAATGGAAACAAAGCCAAGCCTTGAATAACTTGTGAATATTTAGTCATGTGTCCGTCTTGACTTGTCTTTCTTGACAAAGATACCAGGCCTGATAAATGATACGATACACTGACCCTATAACCAGCCATGGTCTAAAACTTAAGATTCCTGATCCAACCAAGAACTGCCAAACAGGCTCTTATGTGCCTAAGACTGTTTAAGTTCACGGGCCATACGTGCTAACAGCCAAGAGGGAACGGAGACTCATGGCTCTTTCAGGCACTAGATTCCTGACTCAGGAGGCTAGAACACAAATCCTGGTTCTGCCTTGATACTATTAATGCCGAGTTACATTTAAATCTGCGCTTTTGCTTGCCAACTGCACAGCTTGCTCTAATGTCAGGCCTTTTTATCTCAATAGATAAAATATTTTGACAAAAGAAGAGACTACTTGAAATTCAAGGAAAAATTTGAAGCCGGAGAATTCCAGCCTTCGCAGTCCACTGAAAATTCCTAGGCTCTTCCTGAACTTTCACACAGGTGGAGATTATTCTTCTGGACTTTCAGAAAAGCTTTGCTGGTTCCAGGACAAAAGCAGTTTGGCCGCAATTACACATCAGCCAGCACCTGTCCCTTGTGAATACCAATTAGTAAAAGGGTCAAGTAGCCGGAGATCCTAATCATTCAAACTATGAAGGACTGACTGGTGCTACGTGTGCTGCTTTAATTTCATGAGGATCTATTTCAAGAAAAAAATTAAAGTTTATTATAAAAACACAATGTTTATCTTCCTTTCCACCACTTAGAATGAAAGTCAGAGTATGCAAATCGAGTTGCAACTGATATAAATAAAAACTAAGATAGGTTGTTATGTGTGTTGCTGGCTTTTAGATCAGCATTTTAATGCAGAAACGACACAGCGAAGCTAGAAACCTTAAGTAACCAATGGGTTATAATAAAGGTTGTTTAAATGTCCTCAATGATCAGACAGTGCCTGAGTCTATTCCAAGGTGATTAAGAAAATGCCAAAGGATGAACCCCCAGAAATGAACAGTAACTCACAAACCTGCAGACAATACTTCAAATCGTGTATTTCTTACAGAGCTTGTATTCAGAATACAAAAACAAAAACTTCATGATTCTTAATAAGAAAAATGAACCTGTTTAAAAAGTGAGCAAATTATGCGAATAGATATTGTAAGGATTCCAGCTCGGATGGAAAGGAATCCTGGCAGACTCGATGGAAGCGGAGCCGTGTGCAGCCCTGCTTCAAGGAAAGGTTTCCCCAGTGGAATAACCCTGAGGTCTGCCGGAGTGGAACAGCTCTGCTCTGCCAGGGAAGGTTCTGCTGCACTCCAGGGAAAGAAGGTCTCACTCAAACCTCATTCAAGAGATTTATTGGGAAGGAGGAATCCTGAGGGTGGCTGCTTCTGCCATGGTAGGAAAAGGCAGCTGCCAACTGAACAGGTTCAGAGCTTATATAGGGCTTCTTAGGGGTGGAGTTTTTCCAGGGTGAAGATTTTCAGAGTGGAATTGGTTGGATTTCAAACCTTGAGCTTGGACAAGCTCAGAGACTGGTTGGATTTCGTGTGCAAGGGGTTAGTTTCATACCCAGGGATTGATTGGTTTTTCTGCCCAACTGGTCAGGGGCAGAGTGTGTTTGTTTGGCTCTGGTTTCAGGGCCAAAGTGTATTTCTTTTTTCTTCTTCTTTTTTTTTTAAAGATTTATTTATTTATTTATTATGTATACAACATTCTGCTTCCATGTATACATGCCAAAAGAGGGCACCAGGTCTCATTAAAGATGGTTGTGAGCCACTATGTGGTTGCTGGGAATTGAACTCAGGACCTCTGGAAGAGCAACCAGTGCTCTTAACCACTGAGCCATCTCTCCAGCCCCTGAGGTGTGTTTCTTTCACTGGCCCTTTTTAACCTTTAGGCTTAGGTCTCAAGGCCAGTGAATTGGCTCTGGTCTCAGGGTCAGGGTGTGTTTCTTTCATTGGCCCTCTTACCCCACAGATATTTCTTAAAATACAGTGGAAGATGAATATCTGAAAAGAGCCTTCATATCATTAAATATTAGAATAATGAAAATAAATACTATACTGATAGGTCACTAGATACCTGCTAGAATGGCTTAAATTAAAAGGCTGACAATACCAAATGACAAGGATGCAGAACAAGTCACCCTCGGTGATACTGTAAACTCGGAAAGCCCTCTGCAAAGGTTTTCAGGTAAAACACGCTGACTTTATGACCCAGAAGCCCCACTCCTAGGTGCTTCACCAAATGAACCGAAAGCAAAGCCTGCAGTGTTAACACAGTCCCTAAAGCCAAATGCCCTATAATGGGTGGAATGTCAACAACATGACCCGGATGGGCCATGGATGCATTCCATTCTGCTATCTGAAAGGAGCCAGACTGTGATGGTGTCCGTTATCTCAGGCCACAGGAGTGGCGGCTGCTCTGACTGATGTTCTAGGCTTGACACCCTGTAATCTGAGTGTTACTCAAAGGGTTCCAGGGATAGCAAGTTCCTTGCTGGGCAGTTAATAATGATCATCCTTAAATAATGCAGCCATCAAAGCATAAAGCACTCACGGGCTTCATTCTTGGTTTCAGTAGGGATTTGCAGGGGTGGGCCAACAGTCCTGGGGCCATGATTATCGTCCTCAGAGACAGATTTCTCACCACCACCGGAAGCACAGTAAGACAAATACCATTTAAGCCTAACGTGAACAATGGCTGAATTCACAGCTTTGGAAACAGCCTAGGGCCTGAGGACAAAGAACTTCACTGGAGAGCAGATTCACATTTTGCGCAGGTGCCCATAAGTAACAACTTTAATTCTTCCACACCGTTAGCACAGCCACCCTGACAATACTGGTTTCTAGGAAGAACATTTTTAAAAATTCATTTTTTAAAGAGTTCCATAGTTGCTTAAAATATTTAAAAAGGTCATTTGATTTAGGGGACAATATACAGTAACAGACTTTAAGGCACATAAACAGGTTTTGGCATTGAGGTGCAAGGTTAGAGAGATGCAGATAATCCTGTGACATCTCAGAATATTTCATCCGTCCGGAAGGTTATAAGGCACCATCATTAGCACCATGAGAGATGGTGGGCGAGGCTCAGTCTCAGGATGCAGGCCCCACACACCCGAGCAGCTGCTGCCTGGTGTACTCCCAGATGAGTAGAGCCCCGCTCACGTGCACGTTCAGTGAGCGGATGATGCCCTGCTGAGGAATCTCCACACACACGTCCAGCTGCTGGATCAGGTCGGCTGGGATCCCTTCCCGCTCATTTCTGCAGAAGAAAAATGGAGCGGGACACGTTAGCTCCCCTGTAACACAGGGAGAACCTTTTACTAATTTTTTTAGAAGTCCTGAATGTTACTATAGGAGACGGATAAACAGATGACGTCAGCCTGGGTTCCAGGAAGAGGCCAATTCCGTGTTTACTAGTAAACATCCCAGGGGTCTCCATCAGTGCTCTAAGTTGACAGGAAGTTGTGTCATAGGATCCAACTCACCCCAACAGGAGCAGCGACTTCTCAGGGAAGCAGAACTGGGCCAGGTCTGAGCTCTGCGCTGTCTGCTCCACACCGATGACAGTGTAGCCTTCCGCCTTTTTCTGCTGCAGATAATCTGTCAGCTGCGCCGGTCTCACCTTGGTGGCAGTTTTAGAGGGGCAGGATATGAGATCATTCCGTTGTGAAATGAGACGGCGGACAAAGCACTGAACTCAAACCCGACTTGGCAAAGGGACTTGAAAGGGGAAACAGGACACCAAATGACATCGGAAAGAATTCCCTCCACACAGCAGACTGCTGAGCGGGGGTTGAACAGAGGGTAGCATGTTCTACCTAGGGGACTGCTACACTACTGCAGGTCTCAGCACTGAAGGGTCAGACCGAGAAACTGGCATAAAGACAGCGTGCCAAAATACACTCGCAAGTACAGGATCTACTAAGCGGTGTTACACCTACCTCCAGCAGAGGGAGCCACTGCTCCGCAGAGACACTGAGGTGCTGGAACTGCCTGTCGCCCACACACTGAAGACTGCCGACCACGAGTGCCGCAGCTCCAAACACCTCACAGGTGCGGCACAGCCCTGCACAGAACAGCCTGTTACTCAGGTCTCCAGCAGGGCACAGAGTCCACGGCTTTCCAGCCTTTCCTCTAAAGCCTGCCAAGAGGGCCATGTGTGGAGGAGACAGCCACAGAGGGGTGCTGAAAGGATTTAGGGTGACCCTCCTGGAGGACGATTTTTACCTCCTAAGTTGGTTGGCTTGTCGATGAGCGAGGCCACAACGATGAGTCTGCTGATGGACTTGCCGAGCTTGGCGGCCCGATCCTGAAACAGAAGCTCAAGGTCTGACTCCAGAGCCTTGTGTCCCCACGGGATGATCTTCTTCTGGACATCTGCCCACTCTGATTGGCTGTCTGCTTCACCCAAGATAGACCCTGAGAAGAGATAATAGTTCCAGTATCAAACACTGGCAGTTAGCCTGGGGCAGTTCTCTATGTATTGGCATCTTTGTTGTTGTTGGTTTTTTTTGTTAAAATTTTTTTTAATTAATTTATTTATTTATTAAAGATTTCTGTCTCTTCCCCGCCGCCGCCTCCCATTTCCCTCCCCCTCCCACAATCAAGTCCCCCTCCCTTGTCTGCCCAAAGAGCAATCAGGTTTCCCTGACCTGTGGGAAGTCCAAGGACCGCCCACCTCCATCCAGGTCTAGTAAGGTGAGCATCCAAACTGCCTAGGCTCCCACAAAGCCAGTACGTGCAGTAGGATCAAAAACCCATTGCCATTGTTCTTGAGTTCTCAGTAGTCCTCATTGTCTGCTGTTCAGCGAGTCTGGTTTTATCCCAGGCGTTTTCAGACCCAGGCCAGCTGGCCTTGGTGAGTTCCCTGTAGAACACCCCCTTGTCTCAGTGTGTAGGTGCACCCCTCGCGGTCCTGAGTTCCTTGCTCGTGCTCTCTCTCCTTCTGCTCCTGATTTGGACCTTGAGATTTCTGTCTGGTGCTCCAATGTGGGTCTCTGTCTCCTTTCATTGCCTGATGAAGGTTAATATTCAGGAGGATGCCTATATGTTTTTCTTTGGGTTCTCCTTATTTAGCTTCTCTAGGATCCCGAATTATAGGCTCAATATCCTTTGTTTATGGCTAGAAACCAAATATGAGTGAGTACATCCCATGTTCCTCTTTTTGGGTCTGGCTTACCTCACTCAGGATAGTGTTTTCTATTTCCATCCATTTGCATGCAAAATTCAAGAAGTCCTTGTTTTTTACTGCTGAGTAGTACTCTAATATGTATATATTCCATACTTTCTTCATCCATTCTTCCATTGAAGGGCATCTAGGTTGTTTCCAGGTTCTGACTATTACAAACAATGCTGCTATGAACATAGTAGAGCATATACTTTTGTTGTATGATAAGGCCTCTCTTGGGTATATTCCCAAGAGTGGTATTGCTGGGTCCAGGGGTAGGTTGATCCCGAATTTCCTGAGAAACCGCCACACTGCTTTCCAAAGTGGTTGCACAAGTTTGCATTCCCACCAGCAATGGATGAGTGTACTTCGTTCTCCACAACCTCTCCAGCAAAGGCTATCATTGGTGTTTTTTATTTTAGCCATTCTGACAGGTGTAAGATGGTATCTTAAAGTTGTCTTGATTTGCATTTCCCTGATCACTAAGGAAGTTGAGCATGACCTTAAGTGTCTTTTGGCCATTTGAACTTCTTCTGTTGAGAGTTCTCTGTTCAGCTCATTGCCCCATTTATAATTGGGTTGATTAGCCTTTTACGGTCTAGTTTCTTGAGTTCTTTATATATTTTGGAGATCAGACTTTTGTCAGTTGTGGGGTTGATGAAGATCTCCCAGTCAGTGGGTTGCCTTTCTGTCTTAGTGACAGTGTCCTTTGCTTTACAGAAGCTTCTCAGTCTCAGGAGGTCCCATTTATTCAATGAGGCCCTTAATGTCTGTGCTGCTGGGGTTATACGTAGGAAGTGGTCTCCTGTGCCCATGTGTTGTAGAGTACTTCCCACTTTCTCTTCTATCAGGTTCAGTATGTTCGGACTGATATTGAGGTCTTTAATCCACTTGGACTTGAGTTTTCCATGGCAATAGATATGGATCTATTTTCATTCTTCCACAGATTGACATCCAGTTTTGCCAGCACAATTTGAAGTATACTTTTAGCTCCTTTATCGAAAATCAGGTGTTCATAGATTTGTGGGTTAAAGTCAGGGTCTTCTATTCGATTCCATTGGTCGACTTCTCTGTTTTTATGCCAATACCAAGCTGTTTTCAATACTGTAGCTCTGTAATAAGAGTTTGAAATCAGGGATGGTAATGCCTCCAGACGATCCTTTATTGTATAAGATTGTTTTGGCTATCCTGGGTTTTTTGTTTTTCCATATAAAGTTGATTATTGTCTTCTCCAGATCTGTGAAGAATTTTGATGGAGACTGCATTGAATCTATAGATTGCTTTTGGTAGAATTGCCATTTTTACTATGTTGATCCTCCCAATCCAAGAGCAAGGGAGATCCTTCCATTTTCTGGTGTCCTCTTCAATTTCTTTCTTCAAAGACTTAAAGTTCTTGTCAAATAGATCTTTTGCTTCCTTGGTCAGAGTTACCCCAAGATATTTTATGCTATTTGTGGCTATCGTGAAAGGTGATGCTTCTCTGATTTCCCTCTCTGTTTCCTTATCCTTAGTGTATAGGAAGGCAACTGATTTTTTTGGAGTTGATCTTGTATCCTGCCACATTACTAAAGGTGTTTATCAGCTGTAGGAGTTCTTTGGTAGAGTTTTTGGGGTCGCTTATGTATACCATCATATCATCTGCAAATAACGAAAGCTTACCTTCCTTTCCAATACGAATCCCCTTGATCCCCTTATGTTGTCTTATTGCTATTGCTAGAACTTCAAGCACTATATTGAAGAGGTATGGAGAGAGTGGACATCCTTGTCTTGTTCCTGACTTTAGTGGGATGGTTTTGAGTTTTTCTCCGTTTAATTTAATGTTAGCTGTCGGCTTGTGGTAAATAGCTTTTATTATATTTAGGTATGCCCCTTGTATCCCTAATCTCTCCAAGACCTTTATCATAAAGGGGTGTTGAATTTTGTCGAATGCTTTTTCAGCATCTAATGAAATGATCATACGGTTTTTTTCTTTCAGTTTATTTATATGGTGGATTACATTGATAGATTTGTGTATGTTGAACCAGCCCTGCATCTCTGGGATGAGGCCTACTTGATCATAATGGATAATTTTTCTAATGTGTTCTTGGATTCGGTTTGCCAGTATTTTATTGAGAATTTTTGCATCGATATTCATGAGTGAGATAGGCCTGTAATTCTCTTTCTTGGTTGGGTCTTTGTGTGGTTTTGGTAGCAGGGTAACTGTAGCTTCATAAAAGGAATTTGGCAATGACTCTTCTGTTTCTATATTGTGAAATACATTAAGTATAGGTATTAGCTCTTCTTGGAAGTTCTGGTAGAAATCTGCATTGAAACCATCTGGTCCTGGGCTTTTTTTGGAAGGGAGATTTTTGATAACAGTTTCTAGTTCTTCGCGACTAACAGGTCTATTTAGATTGTTCACCTGGTCTTGGTTTAGCTTTGGTATATGGTACTTATCTAAAAAAATGTCCATTTCTTTTGCATTTTCCAGTTTTGTGCATACAGGCTTTTGTAGTAAGATCTAATGATTCTCTGAATTTCCTCTGTGTCTGTGGTTATGTCCCCCTTTTCATTTCTGATTTATTTGCGTGTTCTCTCTCTGTTGTTTAATTAGTTTGGATAGGGGTTTGTTGATTTTCTCCAAGAACCAACTTTTTGTTTCATTGATTCTTTGGACTGTTTTCTGTGTTTCTATTTTGTTGATTTCCACCCTCAGTTTGATTATTTCCAGTCTTCTACTCCTCCTGGGCGCGTCTGCTTCTTTTTTTTTCTAAAGCTTTCAGGTGTGCTGTTAAGTCCCCGATGTATGCTTTCTCCGTTTTCTTTAAGTGGGCACTTAGTGCTATGAACTTTCCTCTTAGCACTGCTTTCCTCGTGTCCCATAGGTTTGAGTATGTTGTCTCTTTATTTTCATTAAATTCAAGGAGGATTTTAATTTCTTCCTTGACCCAGGTGTGGTTCAGTAGTTGACTGTCCAGTTTCCATGAGTTTGTCAGCTTTCTGGGGGTAGCATTGTTGTTGCCTTCTAACTTTAATCCGTGGTGATCTGATAAGACACAGGTGGACACTGATATTTTTTTGTATCTGTGGAGGTTTCCTTTGTTTCCTAGTATGTGGTCAATTTTCGAGAAGGTTCCATGAGCTGCAGAGAAGAAGGTATATTCTTTCCTATTTGGGTGGAGTGTTCTATAAATGTCTGTTAAGTCCATTTGCTTCATTACCTCCAATAATTCTCTTAATTCTCTATTAGGTTTCTGTCTGATTGACCTGTCCATTGGAGAGAGAGGTGTATTGAAGTCTCCTACTACTAGTGTGTGTGGTTTGATGTCTGCCTTGAGTTCTAGTAATATTTCTTTTACATAAGTGGGTGCTTTTATATTAGGGGCATAGATATTCAGGATTGAGACATCATCCTGATGAATCGTTCCTGTTATGAGTATAAAGTTTCCATCTCGATCTCTTCTGATTGATTTTAGTTTGAAGTCAGTTTTGTTAGAAATTAGTATGGCCACACCTGCTTTTTTCTTAGGACCATTTGCTTGAAAGACCTTTTCCCAACCCTTTACTCTGAGTAGATGCCTGTCTTTGTGGTTTAGATGTGTTTCTTGCAAACAGCAGAATGTTGGATCCTGTTTTCGTATCCAATCTCTTAGCCTGTGCCTTTTTATAGGTGAATTGAAACCATTAATATTAAGTGATATTAATGACCAGTGGTTGTTTACTCCGGTTATTCTTACTGTTTTTGGTAGTAGAGTTTGTGTGTCTCCCTTCTTTGAATTGTTCTGGTGAAGGGTTGCTAGATGCCTGAGTTATTGTAGGCAGTGTTGGATTTCTTGGGTTGCGATTTTCCTTCTATTACTTTCTGTAGGGCTGGATTTGTGGCTACGTATTGTTTATTTTTTTATTTTTTTGGTTTTTCGAGACAGGGTTTCTCTGTAGCTTTGGAGCCTGTCCTGGAACTAGCTCTTGTAGACCAGGCTGGCCTCGAACTCACAGAGATCCGCCTGCCTCTGCCTCCCGAGTGCTGGGATTAAAGGCGTGCGCCACTACCGCCCGGCACTATGTATTGTTTAAATTTGGTTTTGTAACTATTCTTTTTGATGTTGTTTTTGTTAATGCGTGTATACGACCCGAGTGTGTGTATGTGATGTGTGTGTATGGCCTGAGCATGTGTATGTGCGCCACGTGCACAGAGGTGCCCACAAAGACCAGAAGAGGGTGTTGAATACCCCAGAGCTGGAGTTTCGGGTGGTTGTGAACTTGTGTGGATGCTGAGAATGGAATCAGCTGTCTGTGCTTAGCACCAAGTTCTCACAAAGGTCTCTCAACCGTGGTGCTCTCTCTGCTAGCTGGGTTCCCTGGGTTTCTGTTGCCTGCCGCTGTCTGCTATGAGAGGGCAGGGACCCTGTCTATGTCCAGCACATTGGCTGCTAGCAATGGATCCTCACTGGATGAGTAGATTCGAGATGACGGTCTAAAGATCAAACACTGAACCATCTCCACCTTTCTCAGAACGCTACCCAGAGTCCTGAGTTGAAACCACAGGGCGAGGCTTGATTCTGCAGTTAAAAACAATTACATTTATCAGGAGGTGCCGGGGCACGTGGGTCAGGGTATCATATGGACGTCGAAAGGCAGACAACCCGTGGGAATTAGTTGACTCTTACCATGTGGATCAAACTCAGGTACTCAGGCTTGGCAGGAAGCACTGTATCCAACAAACCATCAGAGAGGTGGGAAGAAAACCAGAGGGCCACAGAAGACCAGAAGAGGAAACTTACAGAAGGCACAGGTGTGGTGGTGTGTGGGGGAGACTTTAGGGATGCTGGCTTTGGGGAAGCAGTCACAGTGGTAGGTGCAGTTAGGGAAAGTTGAGGGAGGCGCCAGTAGAAGGAGGCCACCACCACAGTGCTGAGATGAGCTTTCTGGACACACTGAGCCACAGGCTCATCAGGGAAGCCTGACTGGCACAGATGTTCCTGCCTTCTCTAAGCAGAGGCAGAGATGCAGGTCAGTGAAACAATATCAGGACCCATTCTCAAGCTGTGGTCAGGAGCCCTCACCAATGAACCAGCACAAAATGAAGCTCCCTTACCTCCGTCCTGCTGGGACCAGTCTCCGGGACTCAGCTCACTCAGTGCGGTTTCAGATCTGTACCATGGGGACCCTTCATTGGAAGGGATGTCTGTGAAGCTGGCAAATTTATCCAGGGCAATCCACTCCTCTTCAGTGACACCCGAGAGCCGTGGGAGGGTGTAAAATATGGTCTGAAACAAGAATCGTCAAAGCTAAACATTTTCCCTAGGAAACAAAGGAAAAACCAACATGGGCTTTATTATCGCTGGCTCTTCTCCCACGCCACCCTCTACTGCAGGTTCTCTTTGTCACTTTGCCCTAGGACACTCAGGGGTTCATTTAGGTACCCCCAAGAGCAGGCAGGGCCTCTCCTCCAGCTCTTCTAACTACATGTGACTAATGTGCTCTTATCAAGGGCGCACCATGCTTCAAAGGGCAGTGTCACTAACAAGAAACGTATGCCGGAAGGCAGTTTCCTGGCCACCAGACACTTCCCATGCCAGTTCCATTACAGACATCCAGAGCCCGAATCCTGGCTCGACAGTGTAACTCACTGTGTGACCTTCCTCAGCTTCAGCTCCCATGTGTGTAAGAAGGTAGGATAACTGGTGCCTATGAGGCCACCTTTCTGCCCTTCCCTCTTGAAGAACACTCAGTGGTGGAAAGGCATGAGAGAGAAAACCCAAGGAACAGGCAATTTAAAAGTGAAATAAATGGCCCTTACGGCACACATCTCTGTAGGCAGTTTTAAGGCAAATATTGTTTGCTTCAGGCTAGCCATTTTGTGCAAATCTGAACTGACGTCATGACGGAGAGTACTGTTTATTAGGTGGGCCCCTGAGCCCAGCTCAAACACAAAGCCTCGGTGACGGAGTCGGGTAGGGTGTCAGCTCTCTGCACCACAGCCCACACAGGGAGCCCTCACCCACTGCTGCACACAGACCACCCTGCCTGCTGCTGCTGCAGGTGAGGGATGAGGGAAAGGAGGAAGGACTCAGTGCTTACTGGCTGCCTGGGAAAAGTGGGCGGGGTTCTAGAGATGTCAGGAAAGCATGGACAGAGGGCTCTGGGAGCCAAGGGACACAGACAGTGTGCTATGATATGTGAAAAACCTAGTATGTTTTAACCCAACAAGAATGGCATGCATGTCGTATGTAGCACATCTCACAATACGTAGAATGTCTTCAAAGACAGCTTTAAGCAAACCATAAAAGAACTGGTTGCATAGTAGCTGATCTAGATTCCCCAGAGGAGAAGTCTTCCAGGCCGGACATCTGCACAGCAAAGCTGAGTAGATAGCACAGATTTGTTGCTGGAGTTGAAAAGGGTTTAGGTCTTATGTGTTATGCAAATTTTAAGAGTTTACACAATGGAGTCGTTTATATACTAACTGTAATAAGTATATTTACAGTTCTTAAAGGTACACAAGCACTATGCTACTAATGAGCAAAGTGGAGTACCACTTGACAGACACATACTTCATCACCCAGAATCAAAAAGGGTTAACGGCCATTAACAAGAGATCATCTGTTCTTGCATGGATCATGGCTTCAGGACAAGAAAATCTCACCTGCACAAAGGTTCTCTCACTCACTTCCTTTTAGAACTCTGATCTCTGTTTAGAGTTAAATATTCCCTTCCAAGGTTTACAAGCCAGACGCTGCCAGAGAAATAGAAAGTGAGAATGACTAGCCAGTTGTCACCGCTGAGGTCTGAACCGCGAGCACAGCACAGGACGGGGACGGGAGATGAGCCTGTCCTAGTCCTCCAACAGCTGGGGCAGGGGAGGGCCAAGTCAGGGCTGTGACAGCAGACAGCCTAATCACAGAACGCCACAGGTCACGGAACAGGAGACAAGCCTGTCCCTGTCCTCCAACAGCTGGGGCAGGGGAGGGCCAAGTCAGGACCGTGGACAGCAGACAGCCTAATCACAGAACGCCACAGGTCAAGGGACAGGAAACAAGCCTGTCCCAGTCCTCCAACAGCTGGGGCAGGAAAGGGTCAAGTCAGGACCGTGGACAGCAGACAGCCTACACTGGGAGCTCTCAGCTTACCTCCAGACAGTAGTCCTTCAGGGGGTGGAACGTGGAGAAGAAGAAATGGTCCTGGATGCGCTGCCAGTTCTTCCTGGCATTCCTGAGGGGAAGGACAGGAAGTGAGGCAGGACTCGGAAGTCAACAGTTCTGGAGAGGGAGGTCAATAGATTATCTTTAAGAATCCCATCCCAAGTTCGTACTCCGGCTCTTAAACATCCATGTGTATGTTCTGGCTCCATCTCTGAGGTTGTGGTTTGAGTGAGAAATGTCCCCCATGGCTCATGTATTTGAACACTTGGTCCCCAGCGGGTGGTGCTGTTTGGGAAGGTTTAGGAGGTATGGCTTTGCAGGAGGAAGTATGTCATTGAGGGCTGGCTTTGAGAGTTCACAACCTGGCCCTCCTGCCAGTCTGTTTCCTTATGTGATTCCCCGCCGCCATGCCTGATGCTTGCTGTCATGCCCTCCTCAGTGTGACAATCACTTCTCCCTCTGCACCCGTGAGCCAGGACAAACCCTTCCTTCTGTAAGTTGCTTTCAGCCGTGGTGTTTCTCAGAGCAACAGAAAAGTCGCAAACATAGGGTGACTGGGGATTAAACCCTGGGGCCTCATGGTGCTCTGTCCCAGCACTCAGTGTGCTTTTGGTTTGTTTGCTTTCAAGACATGGTTTCTCTATGTAGCCCTGGCTGTCCTGGAATTCACTACATAGACCAGGCTGGCCTCAAACTCACAGAAACCGACCTGCCTCTTCCTCATGAATGCTGAGATTAAAGGTGTGTGCCACCACTCAGTGAGCTTTTTAAATGGCAACTTTAGAAAGATTCTCATTTTTGCTTTGGTGTCTTGAGACAGTCTCAGGTTAGTGTGGGTAGCCTTGAACTACAAATAAAACAACAAAGGTTTGCCCTGCTGTTTTGCAGAACTGGGGTTTGAGCCCAGGCTTCCTGCCCTCCAGAACATACTTGTTACTCAGCTAGCCCACGGGATTTTGTATTTTGAAACACAACTCAAAGATAAACAGAGACGAAGTAATGCTTTTAGAATCATGCAAAACCAACTAAAGGAAGAAAACCCAGGTCTCTTAGTATCAAACAGACACTGGCCAGTAGAACATGAAGACTGTAGAGAGAACAGGCTAGCTTCATACTCAATCACATACCATCGACCAAAGTCACCCACCACCTGCCAGCGTGAGGAACCTGTGGGGTTAGGATCCCTGTCTCTGGCTGGTAGTGGACCTTCTTCTCTAGAGGGCAAATCTTACATAAGCTGTGGTTTTCACCCTGAAGGCACACGACACAGCTAAATAGTATCTATCCATTCTCAAAAACCAAGAGCACCAACTATGAGCAAGGGTGAATTCTTAACTCAGCCACCAGGTTGGAAAGGAGAAAGTTATGTGACAGGACAAGCAGCTTAGAACTGTGCAGAACTTTCAGGCCACGAGACTTCCTGTACTTTACTCCTTAAGGGATTCTCTGCAGAGGTTCCTGGCACTTCACCATCCTCACTGCCTGTGGTTTTGGAAAATGAGTGACATGAAGTACTTTAGACATCCCAAGTCTAAACAGAGACTAATGGACTCCAAAAACCAACTGCATCAAGGGAACAAGTGTCTGCCACTTGCCTGTCAAATGTGTTGCAGTATAGGCTCCATCCCTGTCCAGCCGCCTGTGCAATCTCCCAACTCTATCACTTGCTACACTGAGCCTGCTTCTCCTGCACGCTGGCCTCACACCGGTCCGTTTCCCTTCCACTACACCAGCGCCTTGGACCTGCTTCTCAAACAAAGGCAAAGCCCGTAAGTATCGGTCACGTTCATCCTGACTCTCTCAGTTCTGAGTGTCTGGACACTTGTCCCAGGTCTCTCAGAGGTCTCTCAGATGACCTTCCTCCAGGGTTCCACCTGCCTCCAGTCTCCACTTCCCACAGCTGCTTCAGGGGCTTCTCTCACCACTTCCTGCTCTTCCTCTGGGAGGCACAGATCACGTTCCCTGAGCTGCAGACAGAAGTCTGTATTTGCCATGGTGCCCTCGATATTCCCATCACCTACTAAAAAGCCTGTGCACTGCTGACTGCTTGGCAGTCCTCGGTTCAACTGAGCCACAGAAGACAGGACCTTCGTCCACATGCTGTGTGTCTGCCTCAGAGGACTCAGGGAAGGACAAGCCTTCAAGGACATAGAGAGTGGAAAGCTCAGGATGCCCGGTGCTCACTGGCTATGTCCCTGTTTGGAACCAGGAGTTCAAAAGATAAGTGATACCATACAAGGATGTTTTCTTGCTTAATAATAACAATGATAATAATAACAACCTATATGGGATCTGAGCCAACTGCTTCTAGGGACCAGGGATTTTAGGATCAACAGGCAGAGAGAACACAGCTCAGTGCCAAACAGCCATGATCTCACAAAAGAAAGTAGTGTTTGGCTGGAAGTAGGTGACAGAGGGATGAAAGGCAGCTCTGGGGTCATAGCTTCCTGCTGTGCTGGGAACAGAACTGAGAGTTCACAAGGCTCAAATAAAGGATGGAGAGAAAGAATAAAACCCCGATCTGGACTCTGTAGCTTAGCACTGTCTGTCGCACGGGGCTGACCAAGTCCTCTGTGCCCAGCACAGTGAGACACTGACATATTAGAGGGTCACAAGGCCGCTCCCCACTCCTCCAGGCTCTCCAGGGAAGAACAGAGCCGTGAGGCATCCTCACCCTGCTCCGTGCATGCTTTCCGCCTGGCTGAGGCTGCACTCAATGACTGTGGTCCAGGCATCACACTCTTGGAACTGCAGGGCTTTACACAGGTGCCAGGCCTTCTTGAGGGCCACCAGAGCGTAGAGTCGGACGCTGAAGTTGTGGCTCAGACACCACTGCAGGGCAACGGTGAGGGCCTGCTTCAGAACCAGCTTCTGGAAAGACAGACACTGCTTGTGGGGAGACATGGCAACATGAGCCAGACTGTAAGGCATGGAGGACCGGCAGAGTGGACATGGAGGACCGGCAGAGTGGACACGGAGGATGGACGACAGAGTGGACACGGAGGACCGGCAGAGTGGACACGGAGGACCGGCAGAGTGGACATGGAGGACCGGCAGAGTGGACACGGAGGATGGACGACAGAGTGGACACGGAGGATGGACGGCAGAGTGGACATGGAGGACAGGCAGAGTGGACACGGAGGACTGGCAGGACAGCTGTGACCAGCTCTGGCAAGCCTTTCACTGTCCTCACCACAGGGCTGCCTCTTCCTCCTGGGCAAATGAGCCCAGCAGCACTCACAGCTGTCTCATGGAAAACGGTCTCTGGGGTCTTCATTTCTTTAAGGGCTGTTGTATGCCCCTCTCCTACAGCCTAAGTTGACAGGGACCTTACGCTAGACTAACACAGCCACTGTGTTCTAGACATGACTGCACCTGATTACATGCCCCAGGCTGAAGTAGCCTAAAGGAGCCCCACTTTTGGAGAACAAGAGGTATCTATCCACTTTCCTCCTTTGAGTGTTAATCCCTTGAACTCCCTAAAAACGAACTTGAGCCACATAGAAGCGAAATTGAGATGTGGGAAGAAGAAAGCCAGGTGTGGGATACCTGAGGGGACAGCATGATGACCCGAGCTCAGGGTAAACCTGGCCTATGCGAGCCCTGTGTTAAACAGAAGACTGTGGGGTCTCCTCCTCAGTCCTCAAGCCTTCTGATGCTCTACCACAGCCTCCTACACAAGGTCACCTGCAGGACAGGCTGCACTGGCTGGTACCCACATCTACAAGCAATGCCAGGGCTCATACAGGGAAGCCACGGGGGAAGGGAAACTCTAAAGTGAGGAAAGAGAGGACTGGGTATGTGGGCTCCATGTGACCATGCCTAGGCCATGTGACCACTCCTAGATCCATCTGTATACTCTGTAAACAGGCTCCCTGAGACCACTCCTAGGTCTGTCTGCACCAGCGTTTGTGAAGGAATCTCCACAGAGGAGGGGCTTAAGAGCTACTATCCTAGCTGAGGAGTTGACAGTGATGACTTCTACCAGAGGGAGAGCTGTGGGAGGAAGAGGCAACTTTCCTTAAGGGTGTGGTCCCTGATTCACCGCCTACACTCTGGGGGATGGCATCACACACCCAGGAAAACATGGTCAGCACAAACTGGACTTGATGAATTATATTTTAAAAAAAGCTGGGCGGTGGTGGCACATGCCTTTAATCCCAGCACTCAGGAGGCAGAGGCAGGCGGATCTCTGTGAGTTCGAGGCCAGCCTGGTCTACAAGAGCTAGTTCCAAGACAGGCTCCAAAGCCACAGAGAAACCCTATCTCAAAAAACGATAGATAGATAGACAGACAGACAGACAGACAGAACATTAAGCTGGGAAGGGTGGAACGATGGGGAGCAGTGGAGGATTCCCATGATAAAAATAGATTGTATGAAATTCTCAAAGACCTGATAAAAATATATGAACAACAACAAAACCTGAGTGGCCAAGAATTTAAACCCTATTTCGATACTTGTAACAAAAACAAAAGCCATTCACACCCACAGGAATCACCCATGAACTTGTACTGGGCGTGGAAGGGGAAGGGAAGGAGAACTGGAGACCCCCACAAGGACCCTTGACAGTTGGGGGTGAGTATGGAAGAGGGTGGATCAGGGAGAGGCTGGGGAAGGGGTAGATATCATCAAACTGCAATGGATGAAATTCTTAAAGAATAAAAAATAAGGAAGAAACACATTCATGAAGGAAGAACAAGTCCTCCAAACTGACATAAATGTATTCCTTTTTAGAACACCGAGCTCATAAATTCTTCTTGCTAATAATTCAGACTCACCTTTTCCGGAATATTCTGAATGATGATGTCCAAATGTGATAAAACAGATAAAAATGTACAAATGCTTGTTTTAAGTTTTTCTTCACCCTGACAGAAGATGAGGAAGAGAAATTGTCATTAACTTAACTGTGAGTAAAGGCTGCTGGACTCCGTCCGGCACGTAGATGTGGGAGGCAGACTCTGTCCTTTTCCCTGAAGTAGCTTGGGCTTGCCACGTCTAGGGTACAGGGCTGGAAACCCAAGAGGGAGGACACCTCCTGTAGCCCAGTGCAATGCAGGCAGAAATGTGGGTACGATCCAATAGCACCAGATGGCACCAAATGCACCAAGCCTAAAGGACAGGAAATCCTGCCTGGGGCAGGAATGGGTTCTGGGGTCAGTACAGAGGGAACTGGAAAAGAGCAAGATGAATAAAGACCCCGAGCAGAGGAGGTGAGGGTCTCACTGGCCCTTGGGATAGTATCCTGCTATTCCATCCAAGGCTGCAGATACATCTCCACATGCCAACCTTTTCCTAGTCAGAAGAGTATGAAGAAAACCTTTACTTACATAAGAAAAACAGTCCCAGAACTTTGGAAGAAACTGAGGGAATTTATGAAGAATCAATATAATAATCCACTCAATAAAATATTTTATAGATGCTTGATTGTTGGTGAAGCCAGCATGGAAAATCTTATCAATAATTCCATTCAAGAAGTTCTGAGGGAGAAAACATAAATTAAACTGTTAACACACTGTTCCTATTCAGTTTTAGAAGACTCTCCAGCTGAGGTTGGAAAGATGGCTCAGTGGTTAAGAGCACTGGCTTCTCCTGCTAAAGACCTGCTGGGTTCACTTCCCAGAACTCAGGGCAGTTCACAACTACCTCACTCCAGTTCTGGGGGATCCAACACCCTCTTCTGGCCCCTGTGGGCACTACGCGCACACACACACAGAGTACACATGCATGCAGACAAACACACATGCACAGACTGTCTTCGTGCTGGAGCAGTTCTGAGCTCTGCACTGTTTATTCAGGCATCCATTGTATGACAAAGGTTTTGATTTGCTAGGCTTTTACAGGAAAAGGGAAAGATACAGAAGTCTAACAATTTCCCTAGTTACATACTTCCTGCATTTCTGTGGGTGGTGCATATGTGTGTAAATATTTGTGTGTGTAGATGTGGGCACGCACACGTGTGTAGGCAGGCCAGAGGGCTTCAATGTTAGGTGTTTTTCTCACTCACTCTCCACCTTGGTTTTTTGAGACAGGGTCTCTCACTGACCCCAGGCTTCTCCACTTTGGATAGACTAGCTGACCAGCAAGCCTTAGAGCTCCTCCATCTCCACCTTCTAAGCAATAGGGGGTGCGAACAAACGTCAGTTTTTATGTGACCTCAAGTCCCACTGAGCCACCTGTCCCGTGTCCATTCCATCATCCGTGGTTTTGGTTGAACCCCCCCAACCCAACACATACTCAGTTATGTGTTTAAGTGGCAGCATTCACATGCAGCCTTATTTCACACGTGGACCCCGCAGCACAGAAACAACACCCGGAAGGGGAGCAAAGCTGCTTTTCCTACGGCGTGTCCATCCACCTACCTCTGGCCTCTCAGCTCCATGGCCATCCCCTCCCCAGCCCCAGCTGTTCTCTGGCCCACACTTTGAGCTCCAAATTCATCCCTCCCTCTATCCTCTCCACAAACATACTTCTGCCTGAGTGATGGATGATACACGTGTGAGCATCAAGTGGAAAACGATTTATGTAAGTCTATTTAAAAAATAGTGCCTGCTATGTTTCTTAAGAGGAAAATCATTCTTAAATATGACTTGTGGTAGGAAAATGGCAAAGATGCTCATTTTTTAGAAACTACTTTTGGTTATTGTGTTTGTATAGTTATGAGTGTGTGTGTAATGTACACACAAAGAGAGGTCAGGAAAACTTTTGGGAGTCAGTTCTCTCCTTCCACCATGCGGGTCCTAAGGATTGAACACAGATTGTCAGTCATCATGCTTGGCAGCAGGCAGCCTCTGTCCGTCTGTCTGTCTGTCTGCCTCTTCCTCACTCTCTCAGACACAGATTTGTTGTTGTTGTTTAAACTCTATATAACTATTCTGGCTGTCCTGGAATTTGCTTTGTAGACAGGGTGGCCTTGAATTCACAGAGATCCACCTGCCTCTTGAGTGCTGGGGTTAAAGGTGTGCGCCACCACACTCGGATTTTTTTTTTTTAAATAAAAACAATATTACAGAACATGAGAACTATCCCACCTGATCAAATCTGGGGAACAGGACAAGCAGCGTCTGCCACACCCGGTTCTTCACCCGGTGCTGGAGGGAGTTCTCATGGTAGCGAGCTCTGGATTTGGATGCGGACTCATCCTGGAGAGACAGGGTGGACATCAGGAGTGAGACACCGTGACAAACAGTCAATGACACCTCTGGACACAAGATGGCAGCACCCAGCCCTTCTGCACCAGAGCTTTTCTTCCTGGCTTTCAACCAAGCCAGCCAGGCAGTCCACCTTCCTCCCTTACACTGCTTTTATCAGGTCTTTTTTTCCAAGACAACAAGAAAGGTAACTAACACAGCAGCGTTTGAGGGATCCTCAGATCCTCTGGGTGTGCCCTTCCTGGTATTTGCTGGTTTGCTTCATCCCACACACACTGTGTGGATGCAGCACAGCAAACACAGTACAACACAGACTGGCAACCGAAGTCACACGGATGAAGACTAAAAGGCCAAGGGAAGCAAACCAGAGAACCTGAGGGAGACAGGTACTAACTAAGCCCTACTCAGAGTCGGGCTTTCTGTGGTAAAAGGAGTTTAGAACGACTTACTCCCTGTCTGTTTCCATATCCCTGTCTGTCTGTCTCCACATCCCCACCCATCTGTCTCCACATCCCCGTCAGTCTGTCTCCACCTCCCCGTCCTTCTGTCTCCACATCCCCGTATGTCTGTCTCCACATCTCCGTCTGTCTCCACATCCCCATCTGTCTGTCTCCACATCCCCATCCGTCTGTCTCCACACACTCGGGTCAAGCGCCAGGCCGCAGCCTGGAGAGCAGAGTTGGCGCAAAGCAGGAAGAAGGCTCCTCCGCACCTTATCCAGGAGTCTGATGGCAAGATCTTCTATAAACAACTTGTGGGACACGTCGGAGCCATCTAGCAGACACAAAAACTTGACAGCACAGATTCGCACATAATAATCTTCTCTCTTAGTACTTAAAACATAAAATGATAAACTATGTTAATATGTTTTAGAAAAAGAAAAATGCATCCACTGTTTGTACCAAATGTCATCACAAGTACCAAGTCCTCTCCTGAAATGTGCTTGAGGTCTATACTTAATGAGCAGCCTTTGCACTGGGAGGCAACAGATCACAACAAGCAAATATCTTACAGGAGAAGAGCACAGAATGGGCACAAATCCACCAAGGATACACACACACACCAAACAAAAAATAAACATGTCCCTATCGATAATGTCATAACAGACCCAGACCCTAGCAAGACAAAGAGGAACAAGAACATGACTCTCAACTCCATAGCCTGTCTCTGCCTCCTGCTATACAGGAAGCGCCCTGAAAGCCTGCCCATCTGCAGCAAAGTGAAACCCTCAGTGTTTCCAGTCCTGGTTAACTCTTACAATGTTAATAAGTATCACTCTACTATAACAAAAAGCACTTGGCAACACACACTGGAAAGTATCACTCTGACTGCTCTGTTAAACCAGCCCAGCAAACAGATAAAATAAACAGAACACAATGAACTAGGCTGGAGAGATGACTTGGCATTTTAAGAGGATGTACAAACTATCCACAAGACCTGAGATCAGTTCCCAGCACCATCAGCTCACAGCTGCCTAGAACTCCAGCTCCAGGAGGCACAACGCCCTCTTCTGGCCTCTTTAGGAACCTGCACTCACATGCACATACCCATCCACAAATACACACAGATCTGCATAAATAAAAGTCTTTGAATACAACTGTAGCAGTGCTCACACTTCCTGAAGATACAGATAGCTCTGATGTGAACACCTGTTATAAATATGACGATTACTTGTCGGCCTTGCCTCTAAAATCACAATAAAAGGTCAATCAGATGAGAGCCATCTACCTAGAGTACACCCTCACAGCCTACTCCATACACATTAGCTACATACACCAATTACCTAGGAATTTTTGTGTGTTAATTATTCTTCAATGAAAGGGCTTTAAAAACCCAGGACCTTTCATTTACTCTGTTTTTGTGCATAACACATTTACTTGTTAAAATAGTAAATATGAATTTGATGATAAATTTTACAACCAAATAAAGGGTTACAGAATAAAGGATGCACCCAGACCCCTTCCCCCAAAGAGGAGGGGGGTCTGTGTTATCCGATGGCACATCTTTTGGGGTTTCTCAGTGAAACAGTTCTGGCTGTCCTGGAACTCGCTCTGTAGACCAGGCTGGCCTCAAACTCACAGAGATCGGCCTGCCTTTGCCTCCCAAGTGCTGGGATTAAAAGCATGTGCTACCACTGCCCGGCCTGATGGATGTCTTTACTTGGACTAGACTATGCACTCAATTTTTGAAAGTTTATTAACTCAGTAAATGGTGAAGATAAAAATAAAATACACAAGCAAAGAATAATATTATTTTTAACACATTTTGAAGGCTTGTGTTATGGTTTGATTAGGAAACTGCGCCTCAGGTTCGTGTGCTGATGGCCTGTTCCTGAGGGGTGGCCCCATTATGGAGTTTGTGGAACCCTGGGGAGGTGAGGCCTGGTTGGAGGAGGCGGGTCACCGGGTCCTTAAGGTTTACAGCCCTGTCTCACTTTCCATTCTCTCTGCTTCTAGGCTCTTAAAGCCACTGCTATAAGCCAATCCTAAACTATATATACGATTGTATATCCTGGACTATATCCCCAAACCTCTCTTAAATTGCTGTCAGACATTTAACCACAGAAATAACAGTGATTAATAGTAACAATAACAAATTAATACAGCTTGTTCATTAAAATAGATATAACGATAAAACATTAATCTATGAATGATGGAGCTAGAGAGACGGTTCAGCAGTTAAGAGCACGAGCTTCTCTTTCAGAGGACACAGGGTCAATGTCCAGGACCCACATGGCGGGTCACAACCTTCTGTAACTCCACTTCCAGGGGATCCTTCTCAGCTCTCAGGGCCCCAGGCATGCATGTGGTACACAGACATTAGTGCAGGCAAAACTTACCCATACATATAAAATAAAAACAAATATCCCTTAATGTTATGAATAAAGACTGCCTTGGTCAAGTGGGAGGTCTCACTAGCATCGAGACACAGGAAATGGCTGCACTTACTCCTCTATGATGATGTTTGCCGCACAGTCGGGTCCAAGGTTTTCTATGAAGGTTTGGACATCCTGAATAAGTCTTAAAAATGTGGGAAGAAAAAACAAATAAGAGATTCAGGAGAAGAAAATATTAAAGCCCCAAGGTTAATGCTACAACCTTCTGGCTGAAAGCTCAGCACACACGTTAACTCCACCCACGTGTGAGAAGCTGACACAGTAGCATGTTTACCTCTGATCGCGCCTAAACACTGTTCCAAACACACAAGCCTCCAGGACAAGTTCACTGTAATCCTTAGCACTGGAGAGTGAGCCCTGGGACACCCCAGAAGAAGCTGCTACCCAAGACTGGCAGCAATGACGGATCAGAATGTTGAAGGCCCCTGTTTTCATGGAGGACATTTCGATAATCTTGCACATAATCTGAAATGAAGCACAGCACTCGGGTTAACCTCTGGCCAGGCCAGCAAAAAAGAAAACCAGGAGCATAACAGTGATCACACAGAAGTGTAATCCTTCTGATGATGGTTCCTAAAGAAATAGCCTTCTGGCCTGGGACGGTTAATCTTTAAAGTCAGCGTGGCAGATGTAGATGAGACACGTGTCGGTGAATGCCTGCAGGACGTTTCTCCCAGAGACACTTCAGTGAAAACAAAGATCCACTCTGAATGCAGTGGCGCTCTGCAGGCTGGGGTCATAGGCTGGATCAAAAGGAGGAAGCGAGCAGAGCGCTGGCATTTATCTCTCTGTTTGCTGACTATGGATGCCACGTGACCAGCTGCCTCGTGTCTCTGCTGCCATGCCTTCCCCACCGTGTTGGAATGTGCCAGGCATTCAGTCACAGCAATGAGAGAAGTAACACAGCTGGGTCCCAAACTGTGCACTAACTAGAGAATACATACAGATTGTGATGTCAACGTACAAAGGGGTTCCAACATCGAAAACAAAACCCTCAGGACCTGCTGGAGAGTATTTTCTTTTTATGGCAGTATATTTACTTTACTGACATGGTAAATGGGAGTTGTGTGATAAATTTAGTGTTTCAAGAGTGTGTGTTAAGTCCAGTCTTCCTGGCCGGCCATCCACCCAGCGCTCTCCAGGAGAGGTGTGTGCCAAGGACATAGAAGGAGAGAGCAGCCCCTCCCTGCAAAAACAGGACCTCAGTGCTCCAGGGGGCCAAGAGCATATAGTCTGCACCTTCCCACAGTGACAGAAGGGCAGAAACCGGAATCAACCTGAGTCTCCAGCAAGACAGAATCCCATTGGGTTATCCTCCCTGTTGAAGGAGTACAGCCACCCCTCACAACCCTAGGGAACTGCTCCTGAATGCCCCTGGACGGCCAAATCAACAAAGGCTTCAAGCCCTGCTTGTGTAAAGCGGTGTGCAGTCTGAATGGAGCCTCCATGTGGGAACATTCTAGCTACTTTAGATCAGACGTGCAACCTGGGCCCACGGCTGCAGCTGGTCTAGGAGGGTCACACATATCCCAACATATCTGCAGACTGATGTCATGCTGCAGTACCCGAAGGCTGACACCCTGCTCCTAGTGATCGCTGGGTGACTGGTAATATCTAATACAGTATAAGGAGGGGTCATATTTTTATAAACAACAAAAAGGCAATACTGATGCAATTTTTAAAATATCCCTTTTTAAAATGCTCTTTAAATTTTTTTCACGTTCATTTCTTTTGGGCAGGGCACACAAACACCGCAGGATGGATGTGGAAGACAGAGGAAAACATTCGGAAGCTGCTCCCAACTTTTACCAGGTGGGTGGAACCTAACTCTGGTTTCCAGACGGCAGCAAGCGTCTTTACCCACTGAGCCATCTCTCTGGCCCTCAAATGTTCCTTATTGTCTGATCTGTGAATGGGGAAGCCTCGGGTGCAGGGGTTGTCCACACCTCTAGAAAACAAAGAACTTTCAATCCCCGTATTTCTCTACAGGAGGCTTAAAGTACAATGTGAGCGCAAGGGCTAGCGCCAGCCCCGCCATGCCCCGTTATGCCCCTCCAGTCCCTGCCAGTGTCAGAGCACACCAGCTCGGCTCCGCACCATGCTCCTGCCACCCTCCAGGAGGAACAAGGCTTCCAGGAGTTCGGCCTCCTGAGTTCCCCATCCTTAACTTGCCAAATGACTCAAGTTTGATTTTGGTGGTGGTGGTGGTTTGTTTGTCTTGAGACCGTGCCTCACTATGTAACTCTGTCTGGCCTGAAACTCAGTATGTAGACCAGACTGGTCACAAACTTAAGAGATCCACCGGCCCCCGCCTCCTAAGTGTGGAGATTAAAACGTTTGCTGCCACACTCAGCTGTGACTCAAGGGCTTAAACCCTGTTTGAACAAGGTGGGAAGAGCTGTGTCTGAGTGTGAAGTGCGCCACAGGCTCATGGGTAACAGCCCCTTTGTCCACCTGGTGGTGATGTTCTGAAAGGTGGCTCTTTGGAGGAGGACAGCTAGACTGGCCCTGCTTTGGCTGTTCTCTGCTTCCCAGGGCACTAATCTGTCAGGAGTGGCTGCTTCCCTCTCCTTCCACTACAGAGGGAACAGCCACATTCCTTCCCTGTCACAACGGACTGTAGCCCCTGAAACTGTGAGCAGGAGCCAACTGCTCCTCAAGTCCTGTCTGTGGACTCTCCGGTCACAGCAGGGCAGGTGGGAGCCTCCTGAGCCTCCTGCCGCTGCCACGTTTCCTCATCTCACGCAGGAAGGCATTCTGAGAACAAAGCCCTAGTCCTAGTGAGTAGTTACAAACACCCTCTCCTTTCACCGTCTACAGACTGTCCAACACGCAGAGAGAAAAGAGTTACCTCCTTGATCCTGAAGTATGCCTGGCCCTTGAGTTCTGCAGCAACGGTAAGAATTTCATTATCGAAAACAAAGTGGACGAAAGCTTTTAAGTTAGGCCAGAACGTCAGCTGGGTGTTGCTCAGGGAAGATATCGTTTTCCAGGCCAGGTCAAAAGATTCTATGCAGAGCGACTCGTCGGAAGTCAGGAGCTGGCAGAAGGGGTGAAAATACTCAGTGGTGAAAAAACCCCAGAAGGGCTGCTGTTTCTCCATCACCCAGCCCTCCTTCCCCTCCGTCTCACCTTGGGAACCAGCATCTCCATGCAGTGGAACACAGGTAAGATGTGGCCGGCAGGGAGCACGGTGAGGACATCCAGGGCCGACCGCAGGGTCTGCACAGGCATCTGGACAGCAGGGAGACGGCACTCCAGCGTGTCACTTTCCGTGGCTGGGATAAGGAGGCGGTGTTTCCTCAGCAGCCAGCAGAGGCAGACCCACTGATCGTGCAGATACTGGGCCACTGTTTTCCCCCATCCTTGAGAAGATGGTGATTCTTCAAAAGCACTGAGATTTTGAAAAGAAAAGACACTAAGTCACTGACTTTCCCAGATTCGTCTTCCTGGGAACGAGGCAAAGCAGATGGGTGGTTTGAGAGTGGTCTAGCTCCTGCAAATCCTTCCACAGAGCTGGGAGGGAGGGAACTGGGAGGTGGGGGCTCTGCCAACTTTTCCATGGGGAGGTAAAACAGCATGAAATCCTCTCCATGATCCAGGTAATTTACAGGCTTTTCAGTCTCCAAAATCACATGTTTCCTTATGTGCCACCCAGGCTCCAACACTGTCAGAGCAACCGGAAACAGACCGCGGCAAAGGATATGTGCAGCACATGTGTCCAACAGCCTGCCCACTAGACACTGGAGCCACCGCACAGACTTGACTTGAGAGACTGGCTGAAAACTAAGTCAGCAGGTGTCTGACACGGGAGATGAAGAACCTAACGGTACACTCTTGACCAAAATGGAGCCTCATCTCCCCAACTCCCTCCCCAACTCCGCTACACCGTGAACACCACACCACCGGGGATCCCTAATGACCACGACTGCACAAAAACCAGATTGCTACACCTTAACAAAAATGTTCCTCATTCACCTGCCGTTCTCCAAGGGATGCACACAGCTGTTCTGCTCCTCTGAGTGGGGCTTCTTCAGCATCTGATTGAGTGGAAGAGCTGACAGGAACCTGTCCATGGGCTCAGCATCAGGAGACTCCAGCTGCAGCACTGGGTGCCGGTCCACAGCCTCACACAGAGCTGCCAGGGTAGCCATGCTGACCGCTCTCTGCACCTGACGGCCCAGGGTTGGTTCCTGCAGGGGACAGGACAACCCTGATGTGAGGGAATCGAATCTCAGTCTGAGGCAACCGGGGCTGCAAGGCTACGGCACCTCATTCCCTGCTTATACGACAGATCAGCTGCCTCTGAGTAACACGGCCCTGGCCTCGTCTGGGTTTGAACCCAGGAGACAGCCACTGAAGCTGGGCTTTTAGCCACTCTGCCTTTCTGGGATGTTTAAGAAATGCCTACGGGTGCTAAAATTCAGCGCCGACGTAGCTGCGTAAATCACAACACAAACTATGAATAATAATCAAAAATAATAAAATAATCAAAAAGAAAATAAACAGCACCGTGTAGGCTTGAGGGGCATCGGGAAGGAAGGAGCGAGACCCTGATCCAGCAGAGGCTGCCACTCCCTCTCCTGCAAGGGTCAAGCCAGATGGAAGTCAGGTAGAAGGCACTATGGTCACAGTATAAAACCACCCAAGCTCACATGAATACGTGGTCCTCAGCTGCTGGTACTGTTTGGGGGTTCTGGAATCCTAGTTAGTAGGAGTGGGACCGTTCTGGTGCGAGCTCTTTACTTCCTGGTTTGCTGTGACAGTAAGACAGGAGCCTCTACACCTTAACACCCTAACACTTGTCTCTTAAATGCTAAGTAGGAAAGAACCCTTCCCTTCAGTCACCTGTCAGGTGAGTAAAGAGCACAGACTTGTGGGTACCCGGGGCAGCTGCAGCCCAGGGCACATGGGACCAGGGAAGGAGCCAAGCACAGCGGCTGAGATCTAAGACTGATGATCCTGTCCCGGGCCAGCGTGAGCAGACGACCTGGGTCACCTCCCGTATCTGAGGTGACTTAAGACTGAAGAGCTGCTGGGTTGAAGGGTGAAGAACCCAGCAGCTCTGGAGGCTGAGGTAGGAGGAGCATGAGTTCAAGGTCTGTCTGAGCTACAAAGAAAATTCAAGGTTAGCCTGAGTAACCTAGTAAGATTCTGTCCTCAAGTTTAAACAAGGTGGGGTGGGGGAGGATGATACACGCCCAGTACAAAGGTTGTGACCCGAGTGTAGTACAGCTGAAGGTGGGATCATGAAAAATCTGGCCATCATCAGAGAGGTCTCTGCACAATGACTCAAAATTAATTGAGAATCAAACATGTGATGAGTCTAAGGTGTTGATGGCTGTGCCTGTCCATACCGACTGTGGGACCTCACGGTGTTGATGGCTGTGCCTGTCCATACCGACTGTGGGACCTCACGGTGTTGATGGCCGTGCCTGTCCATACCGACTCTGGGACCTCACGGTGATTTTGGTTCTGCACACACAGCACTCTCTCCTTTACTTCATGGCACAGAGCCAGTGAGCACTGCCAGGCACACTGAGCACAGACTGAGACTACTGTATCTTATAAGCAGTGTTGTGTGTACAGTTTCCAGCTCTTACAGAAGCATAGGCTCAGGTACAGAAAACAAAGACGTGCATGTGTCCCTACAATGGCTCCTCAGCATGTGAGCATAAACCAGTGTGTCTCTGCATTACACTGTTAGACAAACAAGCACAGCCACCTCACTTGTAGGCTCTTTGCTTTCTTCTTTAATAAAGACTAAACCGTATGCATACCAAAGAACTGTTTTAAAATCAATGTCTTTACGGTTTATTAACTGCAAATGTTTAATTTGTGATCCCATTTTTTTTAGACCTCTAACCCAAGGTTCATGAAAAAGTTTCTTCAGTGAAAAGGGATCACAGGTGAAGCCTGGCAGTGGTGGTGTAACCCTGTAATCCCAGCACTCAGAAAGCAGAGGCAGGTGGATCTCTGAGGTTGAGGCCAGCCTGGTTTACAGAGCTAGTTCCAGGACAGCTAGGGATACCCAGAAAAATCCTGTCTTGAAAATTAAAAAGGGGGGCTGGAGAGATGGCTCAGCAATTAAGAGCACTGACTGCTCTTCCAGAGGTCCTGAGTTCAATTCCAAGCACCCACATGGTGGCTCATAACCATCTGTAATGAGATCCAGTGCCCTCTTCTGGCATGCAGGCACACATATAGGCAGAACACTGTATACTAAATAAATAAAGTTTAAAAAAAAAAAAAGGAAGGAAGGAAGGAAAAGAAAAGGGGTCACTAGTGAAAAAAGATTAAGGCCTAGCTTAGGGTATTGAAACCAGCAGAAGGAAGGAGGGATGGAGGAACAGAAGGAAGGGAAGGAGGGAGTGGAGAGAGGTATCAGATCTCCATTACAGCTTTGACATGTCCCAACTCTACAGTATTACTACCTGGTGACAGAATCTTAACAATCAAATTTCATAAAATCCCCCTCATAATTCCAAAACATCGTGGAGCAATCAAATGGGTATTCCTGGCCGGACATAACTACACACCTTCAGCCCAGGAGGATTACCTGTTTGTCCTCAGCCCCCTGCAGATGGTGAATGCATGCGTTTTTCAAAGGAGAGATGATTCGGGTGATGGGGTTGCCTGCTTTCCAGCCCAGCTTCACCTGGAGACTCGTAAGCTCAGCCAACACCGTCAGGTATAACTGGCAGCGGTCCAGATCTGCCACCTACAACAAAAGTCAGGACACACAAGAACAGCGGGACCTATAACTTTCACACAAGCACAGTTCAGAGAGGAAGCAATTCCTGCATGTAAATGCACTAACAACACAGTGCCCAGGACATCTCCACGCAGGCTAAGAATGTCCTCCTTTGCAGTCTGGACTCTTCCAGAACCCGATGACACCTTTCAAAGCACAGCATCGGAACCCTCAGCAACTAGGAAGCCTTGGGAGGCAGAAAGTCTTCCATGAATTCTTTCTTTTTTTAAACACATAGTAATATACACAGCAGTAGGTATCTGTATTTCCATTTCTGTATAATGAATTTTGTGTGGTCGCCACAATTTCCCTCCAGTCTTCTCACCACTCCCAATGGCCTTCCTCCTTCCAATCACCCCTTCTGCTGCCTCTGGAGTAGGAGTGGGAGGTTGTGCACAGATGCATGCGTGAGGGGTTGCTTACAGAATGGGCAACTTCCCAGTGGCTACACCCCTGAAGAAAATACTTCTCCTTCCCCTAGGACAGCCTCAGGAAGAGGCAGCCTTGCAAACCCTCCCCACTCCGTGTCAGGTGATGACAGACCCAGGCCACCTGCTTGCACAGGCCTTGTGCAGAAACCCAGTTTCTCTGGCTCTTCAGGGCCATAGTTACCACTGACATCAGTCCTCAGGGGAGGGAGGAATGTCCTAATTCCAGAGAGCTAGCAGGGGAGGGATAGGAACTTCTCAGAGTGGCTTCTGGAAAACCCTCACACTAAAGAAATGTCCACTGAGTGTGGACAAGGGAAAGCCAGAGCGGCAACAGCCTGCGAGAGAAAGCTCCCAAAGCCCAAAGCTCCTTACACTCTGTAGCTCGTTCACGGTGAGTCTCCTGAGCACAAACTGAGCCACGCTCTCGGTAGTAGACAGGATGGAGGTCTGGAGGACGGTGGACACCTCATCTGTGGGGAGATCGTGCTTTATTAACCCAACAGAAGTAGGGACTGTGGTAAAACCATACCAGCACTGGTACAGCTGTCAGACAGAAAGGCGGTCACTAGAGTCCGGGATGCCACACCACAGTCCAGCACAAGGACACTGGGTGGACTTTAGAACTGTGTTATGTGGGAAGACATAGCGACTTCTCACCGTAATCACCATCTCGGGGCCCCAGAGTGAGAAAACATTAGCTGTGTTCACATCAACTAATCTTCAGCCACTGCCTGAATGGAAGCCAGGTGCTGGTGCAGAATGCACCAGAGCACATGCACAAAGGCACTGAGTTGCTTAATAAATCCCCAAACCATAAAACTATTAGAAAAAAACACAGGAAGTTCAGCTTCACACCCCATAGCCATTTTCTATACGGCCACAAAGCACAGACAGCAAAGAGAAAAGCAGTAAGAGTCTATGGAAATGACAAGCTTAGGCTGGAGAGATGGCTCAGTGGTTAAGAGCATTGCCTGCTCTTCCAAAGGTCCTGAGTTCAATTCCCAGCAACCACATGGTGACTCACAACCATCTGTAGTGAGGTCTGGTGCCCTCTTCTGGCCTGCAGGCATACACACAGACAGAATACTATACACATAATAAATAAATAAATAAATAAATATTAGAAATGGAAAGCTTGCGGAGAACAAAGAGGACAGCAGAGAAAAGACAAACCATGGTGAAGCATGGGCCACAAGCTACACGGTTAAGTCTCGGAGTCAGAAGCAGGGTAGAGCTTGACAGCTGCTTACTACATTCAGCCTTAGAACATAAGGAGGCAGACCTCGGGTGAATGGCTAGAATTACAGACAACAACAGTGGCAGGGTAACAGGAAACCCGGGGAGGTGACAGGTATGTCCAATCCCAAAGTGCGGAGCTGGATGTATTAAATATGCAGATTTCCTACAAGTCAGTCATGTCTCTAGAAGAGCCTCACGGGCCGGGGGTGTAGCTTGGCTAACAGAGTGCTTGCCTAGCATGCAGGATGCTCTGAGTTCCACCCCATGATCCTATCAAACTGAGCACGGTAGCCAAGCTCTCAGGAGGTGGAGGCAGAAGGATGGGAAGTTCAAGGTCATTCTTGCCTATGTGGCAAGATAGAGGCAGCCTGAGCTACCAGGAGACACTCCATGAACAAGTAGTATATCAATACAGCATTAAAGAACACATACATACATACACACACACACACACACACACACACACACACGGACTGCTGAAATGGCTCAAGGGTAAAGGTATGTGCCACCAAGCCTGATAATATAAGACCATCCTAGGACCCACGTGGTGGGAGAGAACTGACTTCTGGAAGTCAAAGTGACCCTCTGATTTCTGTGCGAGTGTCATGGTATGGGCAGAACTGCATAAACCTGCACACACAAATACAAAATAAACAGCTCTTAAAAAGCAGCAGGGGTGGGAGGATGGCCCAATGGTAAACCTCATGCCACGCAAACATGAGAGCCCGAATTGGATCTATTTAAAAGCCAGTGTAGCGGTTTTTGTCTGCAACCCCAGCATGAGGGAAGGTAGAGGTGGGATGGAAGCAAGTGGACCCCGGGGGCTGACCAGCCTGTCCAGCCAAAACAGCCTTGGGTTCAGTGAAGAGACTCTGGCTAAGGGAGTAAGACTGGCAGCAAGAGAGAGAACACCCTATGTCAACCTCTGGCCTCCACATGAACACACTCACACAGACAGGCATGTACACACACACACGCCTCACATACATGTTCTAATGATAGTGAACAACCCTCCTGGCGTTATCACACAGACACCCCACGGCATTCCCGGCGCACCGGGAGCTAGCTGCTCAGTATATGCATGGGAAGAACTAATTCTTACGTGAAGAAATTAGGAGCTTCCTCCCAGTCTCAACGCCAGCAGCACCCCCGCAAGGCACCCCAGAGCCCAGTCATCCTCACCATCCTGGCCACTGGAACCTCTTGGCACAGAAGAACGCAGCAACCTCACCAGCAGCTGGAGGCACCTGTCATTCCTCAGCAAGGGCATGTAGGCGTTGGTGCCCAGCTTCCCCAGAGCATCCAGCAGGGGGTCTAAGAAGATCCGCAGCACATTCTGAGTCCTCTGCTTTTCCCTAGATGGTGAAAGAACACCCACATCAGCCACCTCAAAAGCATGGCCAGTCCCCAGCTAGCACTCTTGCAAGCAGTTAGCTCGGGGGTCATACACATTATTCCATGCTCGGGGGTCACTGCATCCCAACTGCCAGTTTTGTTTATGCCACACGCTTTACAATTTACACTGAGATCGTAGCACATACTTTTCTAATACCAGTATAAAACAGTACGCATCATATTCTCTAATTTAATATTAGATTGCAAATTTGCCAATTAATTACCAACCTGCAAGCACTAAGCGGCCCTGTTAAATCAAACATTTCTTTAGTATGACCAGTGTTCTAAATCTGGCCTTTGTTAGTGACTCTACCAGCCACTGAGAATCCTAAGCACCCATGATAAACCTTATTAGCCCCCCCCCCCCACCGTCAGCACTGCAGAAACAGTGACCTGAATTGGGTCTTCATTTCTTCCACGTCCACAGCCAGCAGAACCATCAGAGAGGTCAGCCTGGCTTCAAACCAGTCTGGCATGAAGCCGCTTTCTCCTGCTGGGATAACAAAAGTTACAGCTTAAGAAGCATTCTCGGGGCCTGAAAAGTAGTTCAGTGGGTAAAGGTGCTCGTAGTCACGCCTGATGATCTAGTTCGATCCCCAGGACCTAGATGGAGGGAGAAAAGTCCTGACTCCCCTGAGTATTCTTCTGACCTCCAAGTGAGTGTTGTGGTGTACACACGCACACACGCGCACACACACATTTTTGAAATTAAAAAAAAAAAACATTTAGAAGGCATTCACTAACTCCTTCAAAAATGAGGAACTGAACCATTAGCATGTTTATTATTCCTGGTCCTTATTACGCCATTAGAAAAACATTATTATGCACCATGGTTAAAGACAATAAAAACAACTCCTTGTCCCTGCTGTGTGAAGAGATCTGCTTGAACATGACAGACATATGGCTCCCAGAACACAGAAAGTATTGAGCCACAAACACCAGAACTGTAATTAGAGCGAGGGCCGCACTGGGGAAAGGTGTCTGCAGCTGGAGCACACACTCCAGGAGAGCTGAGCAGAATGACCTGGGTGAAGGGAGATAAGAATTGTGTGTGGACGGTCCCAGCAGGAGAGCAGTCAACAGAAGGGTGCATGTATGCAAGAGAGAACGGCAGAAAACGAGACGACAGACCTATTGGAGAGACCTGACACTTGGCAGGACATTCAGGGAGATTTGCTTTTGTCCTACAGCCAATGGAAGCCTCTGAGGGTGCATGCACCTGGGGGAGGAGGGACTTCCAAAATGGGAACCTTAAGGAAGCAAAAGGAGGAACAAGGGAAGCAGTCAGAGCAAGCCCTGCTGGGTGGAAACTTCCAGATGACACCTGGCCCTGGACAGAAAGGCTGAGGCACCAGGGCTGGGCAGCCTCAGACCCACTAGAGCTGCATGTGTGGTTGCACTAGAAGCAATGAAGGGTTGACTTTAGCGGCAGGCCTCACCCAGAATGCTCCCAAGCACAGAGAAATGCACTTGAAAACGGAGAGGAAACACTAAGGAGAAAATGCTGAGCTGATGACAGGCTTGAGCTCTCAGGCCGATTACCTAATTAAGACCCATTCCTGGATCAGATGAGAGAAACTGGATGAAATGGGAGGATCTGAGACAAAGGCAGGGACTTTCAGATGTGCTCAATTCAAGGGCAGTTTTCCCAAATCATGGCTAAGGGCCTTAATGAATAGGAAGCATTAGAAATGTAAAATCCTAATTAATGAGACTCTTTGAATTCTTCCCTCCTGCAGGCTGACAGGTTTTCTCCAAAGATATTTGCAAAAGTGGTTTCTGCCAGGAGTGGGGCTCGGTGACAGAGCACCTGCCAAGTATGCCCAAGGCCACCCCAGAACCACATCAAAAGCAAAAGAAAACATGAAAGGAAAAGAAGAAAAATGGTCTTCACCAGTGTGTGATGAAAATAACACCCCCTCACCCCACCCCCCCACCCCCGGCAAAACAATCCTTCTAATAGAATGCTCTCTGAAACGGGCTTGGGGGGAGGGGCGCTGGAGAGATGGCCCGGGGGTCAGAGCCTTGGCTTGGAAGGGATGAAGATGAGTTTGCAGTTCAGATTCCAGCACCTACGTAAAGCTGGCAGGAGTGGCGGTCCACCTGAACCTCAGCGCTCAGAGGCAGGGACAGCAGATCCTGGGCACAAGCGGGCCAGCTAGACTAGCATCAATCAGCATGTACCAGGTGGAGAGCAACTGAGGGATCACCCGAAGTCAAGCCCCAGCCTCCACACACACATGTACGCACGCAGGCACACACACGCACAAACACACACTGCTCACATGTTAACCAGATCGATGAACCGGTTTCCATCAGTTAACAGTAAACACAATGAACACAGTAAACACGTGAAAAATTAACCCAGGTGCATCCTAGAGACCCACACACACTGCCCTTGGGGACAAGTTCATGGACTAATTGGGCCCACTTCCTGCTCTGGGAGTTGAGCAGCTCCTCCAAGAGTCTATATGGCTTTAACATCCTCAAGTCTCAGAACCCAGGAAGCCAGGAGGGAGCAATTCTGCCCTTGTGGCTGGAGCTCAGACTCACACTGCACAGCTGCTCAGGCACACAGATCAACCTGAAAGCTACAGTGACACATTCTGCCACCTCCTAAGGGAGTTCAGACTTACTTTCCCAACCAGGAGACTTCACGAACTCCTGAACTAGGATTTTCACGTAAGCATTTAGCGATGTCTCGTGTCCATCAGAGCCACCAATCGAGGACTGTCTGAAGTATTTTTCATTGATGCGCAGCCAGTCACAGAGCTGGACAGGAAAACCATAGCAGGGTTAGTTTATTCTTAAAATGGAACAGAACAAAGCGTTTCTAATTTCTCTGAGCCAATCTTGTCTTCCACATAAACTGAGTCTAAATCATTAGATACAAGAACTTGGTCCAATCCTATGAAGCCATCATTCACTGGTGCGGAGAGGTACTGACGTGGTTCCTGTCTTCGGAACTATATTAGCTGCAGAGGACCACTCAGAACCCAGTGTAAGGGAATCTCAAACTTCTGATGAAGCAACTGTTGCATTTTCAGAGGGTTAGTGATGGCTCCAGGGGGAAAGGGCTTCTACAGAGCTTCAACAGTGGATTGGCTGCTCACCTCTGTCCACAATCCAGTCCCTCGTGCCAAGGACTCCTCTTGCCTCAGAGACACCAGAAAGGCGGAGACATCAGAAAGAGACACTTTCTCCTAGGCAGAGAAAGCTCAGTTTAAACATTTGGGGTAACAGGAAAGCTGTGTGGAAACAGCAAGTCAACTAAAGTAGCAAGTCATCACTTAAGATACAGGAAGTTACATTGTTTCCACACAAGAACAGGAGGAAACAGCAAGTCAACTAAAGTAGCAAGTCATCACTTAAGATACAGGAAGTTACATTGTTGCCACACAAGAACAGGAGGAAACAGCAAGTCAACTAAAATAGCAAGTCATCACTTAAGATACAGGAAGTTACATTGTTGCCACACAAGAACAGGAGGAAACAGCAAGTCAACTAAAGTAGCAAGTCATCACTTAAGATACAGGAAGTTACATTGTTGCCACACAAGAACAGGAGCTGGGAAGAGGCTCAGGGCACACAGCTGTGCTCAGTGAGGACCAGACTTCAGGTCCCCAGAACTGGACAGCGCTGGTGGCTATCTCTAATCCTAGTGCTTGAGAGAGAGATGGGGGATCCCAGGCAACGACAGGAAGGCAGACTAGCGCAAACTAGCGGCAATCAGCAAGGTCTGGGTTTGGCAAGAGACCCTGCCTCAGTAAGTGGAGCGAAACAGAAGACATCTGCCTCCATACTTGTGTGTGTGTGTGTGTCTTGACTAGCCTGAACTGAATAATCTAGCCCAGGTTGGTCTCAAACTCAAGGCAATTCTTCTGTCTCGAGAGTGGGTAACATTTTAAAAATACATGTTTGTTTTTTTTTAATTAGGCAACATCTTAGAGAAAAGATAAATATAATCTTTTAAAAAACATACTCTCAAGAAAAAACAAATTCCTGTGAATAAAAAATGATTCTTTAAAAATAACAAAAAGAATCTCCAACTGAAGCAAACAACAGCGGTTCGTCAGCCCAAAGGTCACAGATTCTGAATAAAGATTCAGCATTGGGCCAGTTCAACAGATGGACACACAGCTCCTGGGTTAAGTGAGGTCCTATTGGAACACGGCATATGCATTTCTTTAGATGACAACAATGAGCCCAAAGTTAAACAGGGACCTCATAACATACACAGATGCCTCATGTCCCCTGCTCTGTCCAGCACAGCAGTGTGCTGACTCTGGCTCTTGGTATTTTCCTTGGGACTCTATGTCTACAAGCTCCTCTCCTGGTGAGTCACCCAGGATGGCCTGGTCCTTTTACCGGGCTGTGAGAATATACTAGAAAGGCTCCCAGGGAAGTTGACTGGAGCCTCAGGGCTCAGGTTTTGTCCTGGGACCTGTTTTATAGCAGCCCAGGCCTCGCAAGGTTGACATTCCTGAGCCCCAGACAAGAACCCTGTTCAGCACAACCAACACTTCCTGCACACTACGCTACTTGTCACCTAGGATGATGTCAGTCATCCCCAAGTCCCCCGGTACTCCCTGAGAAAGACTTGCAAACGGGTGTACGGACAGGCACACTCACCACGTCCACCAGACGCATGGCTGTCTGCAGAAGATAGCACTGTGCTGCCCCCCTCAGGAGGACCTGGTGTGTGATCATGGTGCGCTGGAGAATGTCCCTGGTCAAAGCAAGGACACACAGGTAGGAACGGGAAGTCTGAGCACTCACAATCACTTTCACTGCCTACAACCTCCGACGTACAAAATGATCATCACCAGGAGTGACTGTCACAGGAGTGGCCAACACCAGGAGTGGCCAGCACCAGGAGTGACTGTCACCAGGAGTGGCCAGCACCAGGAGTGACTGTCACCAGGAGTGGCCAGCACCAGGAGTGACTGTCATAGAAGTGGCCAACACCAGGAGTGACTGTCATAGAAGTGGCCAGCACCAGGAGTGACTGTCATAGGAGTGGCCAGTACCAGGAGTGATTGTCACCAGGAGTGGCCAGCACCAGGAGTGACTGTCATCAGGAGTGGCCAGCACCAGGAGTGACTGTCACCAGGACAGGCCAGTACCAGGAGTGACTGTCATAGAAGTGGCCAACACCAGGAGCGACTGTCATAGGAGTGGCCAGCACCAGGAGTGACTGTCACCAGGAGTGGCCAGCAGCAGGAGTGACTGTCATAGGAGTGGCCAGTGCCAGGAGTGACTGTCACCAGAAGTGATCAGCATAAGGAGTGACCATCGCCAGGAGTCACCAGCACCAGAAGTGACTGTCACCAGGAGTGGCCATCACAAGGAGGGCTGCATGGCCAGTTTTCACTGTGATCGTACACAGAGTACAATTTTTATTTTTTTATTTGAGATAGTCTCAGTATGTAATCCACGCTGACCTCAACTTCTCTCTAGCCAAGACCGGACTCAGGCTTATAAGCCTCCGCAATCATTTTCTTAAGTACTGGAGTCACACGTGTGGGTCACCACACCCAGACAGAGCTCAATTTTAATATGAACCCACTCTCTTTTAATAAGAAAAAGCTAGCCGGGCGGTGGTAGCGCACGCCTTTAATCCCAGCACTCGGGAGGCAGAGGCAGGCGGATCTCTGTGAGTTCGAGGCCAGCCTGGTCTACAAGAGCTAGTTCCAGGTCAGGCTCCAAAACCACAGAGAAACTCTGTCTCGAAAAACCAAAGAAAAAAAAGAAAAAGCTAGGCCATGGTACCCCATGCCTGTAATCCCAGCACTTGGGAAAGTGAGACAGGAGGATTGTTGGGAATCAGAAGCCAGCCTGGGCTACACAATGAAAATCTGTCTCAAAGGAAAAATAAAACAAAAATATACTTAAATGCACACATTTTTAAAGTAAGAATTTTATATATTTTAAATACTTTCTAATTGATTATCATGATTGATATTTGTCCTTAATTTTTTATACTTATCCATACAATTTTTAAAAATTAGCAATCAATATAATTTTTAAAAAAGTGGTCAAACCCCAAGTGCATATATTATAGAATATATTTAAAATAGTAATTCATCAAACAAAATACACTCAATTATTTACATAAAAAAATGTCAGTTTTTCTTACACAAAGCTACATGAACCGAGTCATAGTGAATAAATGAACATATAGTGTGTAATTAATTACCTGAGGGCTAGAAGCCCTTCTCCACCCAGGGCCTTACATCTGGGCACACCTGCCAAAGCCCTGGAGAGGAACAACACTGGCACCGCACACCAGTGTCTATCTGCCATCCTCTGGATGAACTTCAACAGGAAACGACCTGGAAGAAAAGGTTTGAAAACAACGTTACTGCTGCAGGGGTCACGTGGAAAAGTCCTCTGCTTCCTTAGTCAGTAAGAAAATGTAAATCAAAACCTCGATGAGACAGCACCTCAGACCCCCTCGGACAGCAGAAAGCAAAAGGGACACCAGGGGTGGAAGAATCTGAAGAAACCGGAACCCTCATGCGGGTGGTGGGAGTGGAAAGGGTGCGGTCAGCGTGGACCACATGTAGAGAGTGTGACCCCCCAAGCGTGACCCCCCCAAATCCACTTCTAGCCGTGTAACTAGAAGTCCATACAGGTTCATACAGAACCACTCACGGCACTGTCCCCATGGTGAAGCGAGAACACACAAATGCATAGATAAGTAACTGCGAACAGCCCACCACGGAGCGAGGATGGAGGTCGACTCCGACACAGAAAGGGAGATTCTGTGACACAGGCCCACTCCCAGAGAAGCCAGCCCTTAGCTGCCACGTGTTCAATTCTGTGTGAAACCCATGGAATGCAGACATCAGGTTGACAGGACATGCATCAGAGACTGAGGAGCCAGCGTGTAAGGCCCAAGTGCTAAGGGGCATGGGGTTCTGTCTGGAGACGAGGGAAGTGTTTTGGAAACAGACAGTGGGGATAGATGGACAGTTTTATTTTTTTTAAAAATATTTATTTATTTATTTATTTATTTATTATGTATACAATATTCTGTCTGTGTGTATGTCTGCAGGCCAGAAGAGGGCACCAGACCCCATTACAGATGGTTGTGAGCCACCATGTGGTTGCTGGGAATTGAACTCAGGACCTTTGGAAGAGCAGGCAATGCTCTTAACCTCTGAGCCATCTCTCCAGCCCAGATGGACAGTTTTAAATAGAGTAAACACCACTGATCTGAACAGTGTGAAGCGTGTAAACGGGGCCTTAAGGGGTGTGAGTTAAATCTCAATAAAGCTGTTTTGAAAATTACTACAATTTCATTCCTATCTAGTATGACTGTGCTGTCGAGAATCTGATAATCAGAAAACTGTAGCTTTATCTTGTTTTTTTGTTTTTTTAACAGAAGATTAAAGAGAAAGGTTTCACCGGGTGGTGGTGGCGCACGCCTTTAATCCCAGCACTTGGGAGGCAGAGGCAGGTGGATCTCTGTGAGTTCGAGGCCAGCCTGGTCTACAAGAGCTAGTTCCAGGCAGGCTCCAAAACCACAGAGAAACCTTGTCTCGAAAAACAAAAAACAAAAAAATAAATAAATAAAGAGAAAGGTTTCTTTGCTTGTTTTTTAAGGCAGGGTCTCCCTGAGGAGTCTAGTTATGTTGAATTCATGGCGATTCTCCTGCTCAATTTCCCCTGTACTGGGATTAGAGGCATGAACAACCACACCCAGTTAGAAGTAAAGCTTTAGCTGCTGAGGACTTTTCTGAGCTGCTCAAGACAGGGTCAGATCCACTGATGGGGCAGCCCCTGGCTCCTGGGCACACCTTCCTGGAAAGCCATTTCATGCCCTCCTTGGGTCTCACTCAGTGGTTGATGTCCTTGTCTGAGCCACAAAGGGTTAGTGCTCTCTCCATCTGCTCTGCTAATAGTTTCTGCTCACTACACTGTTTTCTTCTGTTAAGAAGTTCCAGAACCAGTCAGACATGACAGCGCACGCCTTTACTCCCAGCATTTGGGAGGAGGCAGAGGCAATGGATCTCTGAGAGTTTGAGGCCAGTTTGGTCTGCCTAATGAGTTCCAGGACAGCTAGAGCTACATAGTGACCCATCTTAGGAGAAAAAAAAAAAAATTCCAGAGACTTTTCAGAACTGGAGGAGCTACCGGGAACTGTGGGTAAGCATTCTTCTCTCTCCCGGCTGCATGAATCAGATCCAGTACATGACGTCTCATACCTACCCCTCACTCAGTGCAACAGTCAGACTCCCTTCAAACTCACCCCACACACTTCCGGGCCACGCCTCCAACACCAGGTGGGCAGCCTCCACAGGGCCACTCTGCTGGGCTAGCCAGCCATGCTGCAGGCTGCAGCCCCAGGAGCTCAAAGCTGGCGGTTCCACTGTCCTCTCCAGGAACAGAGCCACTGAGACAACCGGCTTAAGTCCTGATACTGCACACCATAGTCACCTCTTTTGAATAGATGGGTATCACTGGTCATCTTGTCAATAAATAAATATATAAAAAAATCCATATTTAGGCTCAGTAAAGGTCACAAAGGCCACTGTGACAAGATGATTCAAAGAGGAATAAGCCCTTCCACTACCTGGCAACAAGAGTCTCAGAGGTGCTTTGTGTCCAATTCCAAACTTGCCTCAAAAATAAATAAATGAATAAATATAAAAAAAATTAACCCCAGCCCAGGAAAGTGGGCTGATTCCAGGGTACAGGACACTAGAAGTGTGCGCTCCTTAGCTATGTAGCCGTCTTTCTGCTGCAAAGGTCAACCCAGAGAGGGCTGGGTACTGTTCAGCACCTTTCCTTGGCTCTGCCTTGTTTGCTAACGCCTGCAGAGGAGACAGTATACAGATCGCAAGGCCAGTGGCCCGCTGCAGACAGCTGCACAGCACCAATCATGACAGTCACGTGATGGCACATGTACCAGAACATGCTAAGTTATAATGTAAATTAAAACCTCTAAGGACATACTCTTTGCTTCTTCTGGAAGAAGAGAAACGTAAGCGACCAGAAACGTCTGCAGCTTTAATCCCAGGGGAGAGCCACTTCCCGACAGTTGCCCTGGGGATCTGCGAACAAAGGGGAGAAAAACATGAACTTAAAATCCATTTACAAATACACATATACAGACATTAGTCTAAACGCAACACGGTTCCCAGCAGTGAGCAACTGGACAAGGCCTCTTGCCCTGGACCTGCACTTTATTTCTCAGTAATGTTCGGAGACTCTCTGAATGCAGAAACATCTGAATGTTCTAGCAGAACAAGCGGGACTCTCCAGGACTCTGGGCTGTTAGACCGAAGGGGCACGGCAGCCTGCGATGACACTCCCCTTCCCCTCCTGACACACATCAGTCTAGCGTCATAATAAAACCGCTGAGGACGATCAACTTAAACTGTGCTTTTTTGTTTCCAACATATAACTCAGTGGATTTCCATCTCTAGGTTAAAGGAGCACTCCCAGCGAAGACAAGTATCAGAGAGGCCTGGCATTTGCTACAGTGTTTCACTGTGAATGCGGACTCCACCAAGCGTTTCTGGCTCTGTGTGTTATCTGCTAACTGAACACAACAGGGCACCAGAAGGTGTGTCGTGATAAATGTATATGCCAACTCTCCCAAAAGCATGGGGGCCGCTGCTGACTGCACACTGCCCAGCTGCCTCACAGAAGTGGAATGCCATCTAGCAATGACTCCCTGAAGACTCATGTCCCTGTCAATCATGCCATTATGTTGTCAATATGTATGCATCAGACACTAGAAACTAATATATTCCCGTCACTTGGCCTGGATGCTAGTTAGCATTTTTAAAGAGTGTGGGAAATGGGGTGGTTTTTCTTTTTTAGAGGGCTCCTAAGTGTAACTTGCTTATAGTTATAAACTCAAGTGATCAATATCAGAAAGACAAACAATTCTAAAATCAGAGAGCTGAACGGGCAGTTTCAGGGTATCGATAATTCTCCCAATGAGGCTAAGGCAGAAAACTGACAAGCTTCCGACTGCTAACCTTTTCCAAGCGCGAAAGCTGTGGACAAGCAGACCTCCTATAAGCCATGGCCGCCACTGTCAGATACAGAAAGGAATGTTAGGGTGGGCTGTGCCAGACATACTGGTGTGAGCTCGCAGTTCTTAATATAGAGGGAGAAAGAGGATGAGAGAAGAGGGAGGGAGGGAAAGAGAGAGAGAGAGATGGCTGGGTGGAAGTAGGGAGGGACAGACACACGAATGAAACATGCAGGAGGGTACATCGGTTCAGCAGAGTAACACACACACACACACACACACACACACACACACACACACACGAGGTGATGACTCAGCAAATCCCATCAGACATTAACATCTGCTGACTCTAGTGAACAATGAACAACTCTGCATTAGCTCTGAACTTTCTGAAAAACTGTGACACTAAGTCGAAATTAAAAAGCTAAAATAAAAAGGTGAGCTAGGCGTGTTTCATGACATCAGTGTGTGTAACTGCACAGCTGCTGGAGCTAGGTGTGTTTCATGACATCAGTGTGTGTAACTGCACAGCTGCTGGAGCTAGGCGTGTTTCATGACATCAGTGTGTGTAACTGCACAGCTGCTGGAGCTAGGCATATTTCATGACATCATGTGTGTAACTGCACAGCTGCTGGGGGCTAGGCGTGTTTCATGACATCATGTGTGTAACTGCACAGCTGCTGGGGGCTAGGCATGTTTCATGACATCAGTGCACACACAGCTGCTGGGGGCTAGGTGTGTTTCATGACATCAGTGCACAGAAGCACTGCACAGCTGCCGGGGGGGGGGGGCTAGGCGTGTTTCATGACATCATGTGTGTAACTGCACAGCTGCTGGGGGCTAGGCATATTTCATGACATCATGTGTGTAACTGCACAGCTGCTGGGAGCTAGGCGTGTTTCATGACATCATGTGTGTAACTGCACAGCTGCTGGGGGCTAGGCGTATTTCATGACATCAGTGCACAGATGCACTGCACAGCTGCCGGGGGGGGCTAGGTGTGTTTCATGACATCAGCATGTACAGATGCACAGCACAGCTGCTGGGAGCTAGGCGTGTTTCATGACATCAGTGTGTAACTGCACAGCTGCTGGGGCTAGATGTGTTTCATGACATCATTGCACAGATACAATGAACCACACTGCTGCTAGGGAAGAGAATGACCCTTTGGACAGGACCCTCTGTCCATGGTGTGTCACTGACCAGCATGCACAGGCCCTGTGCCTGGTCCCCGGCCCCACAGCAATGACAGAGCAGCATGGACGCTTACCTGCTGTACAGACAGCTCTCTGAGAGGGCATCCATCAGCGGGCCAGTGATAAACTGAAAGGGAAAATATGGGCATTAACACGACTTTCCAACTGCCTTTGCTCTACACGGGGACATGGGGGAGCAGAGGGGCAGAGTGGGTTAACGCCGCAGTCCTGAGAGCGCACACAGAACGCTGCCACCGGTAATGCCCACCAGGGCTCTGGGCGTGGGTCAGGGCCGAAGGAGCTTGACGAAGAAACTAGGTAGGAAATACAGACAGTAATAGGGAGATAAGGATTCCTCAAGGGAAGGCTGACAGCCTGTGCTGAGAAGGTGGGGATCAGGGATTAACATCCCCCCAAATAGTCCTAGAGGCCAGTCAACCCCCACCCCACCAGGTTACCTGAAATGCAGGGGCAGAATTGCATCTCAGGGGCTGCAGTGTGGAGTTCAGACAGAAAAAGCAGGCTGGCGTGTGTGACCCTAATGTAAGGTGAGCTCCTGGGTCTAAGGAAGGGAACATGGAGCCCCAGGGCCCAACTGCATAGACCCCAACACCCCTGGTCTCCTCACGGCCACAGGGCCCAACTGCATAGACCCAACACCCCTGGTCTCCTCACTGCATGAGGCCGCTGATGGACAGAGGCAAACACGAACAGCTCAGACAAAAGACGGCAGAGTGCACACAGCTATGGCTCACAGCTCCAGGGCAGCATCACCAGGAGCTCCCTGCCCGACTGCAAACTCCATAAACGACGCAGACAAGGCTCCCGGGACGGCTAATACTGTCCGCTGGATGGATCTAGGCTCACCCACAAGGCAAGTGTCTGGACACACCTGGGAGGCGCTGCTTTGGCTGAATCACCTGAAGCAGAAGACCCACCCTGAGAGTGGACAACACCTCTGGCAGACACTCAGATACAGGGAGGACCAGGGGCAAAGCTGTTTGCCTCCTTGCCTTCGCCTCTCGCTTGTGAGTTCATCTACCCTGTAGCTGCCCCTGTGGCTGCTCCTGCCACTCTTTGCTCCATCGGAACCCAGCCTCTCTAGGCTTCCAGCATGCACTGAAGTCCTGACTCTGTGGCTCTCTAGGAACCATCCAGGCCTTCGGTGTCAGACTGGACAACTGAGGCATCCAGCTACGGGATGTCTGCCTCCCCAGCTAGCAGACGGCCATTGCTGTATTCCAATCTAATAAATTTCCCTTTAATACACGGCCATTTTATCACTCTTTCCCCTGAAGAACCCTGACTAATTTGCTCCCATTCAGCTTTCCCCAAACAGGAGAGCTACATCTGAGGTAGACAGGTGGACTGAGACTGGGGACGTGGCCCAGAGTGTTTGCCTCCCACGCTTCAAGCCCTGGGTTCAATCCCTAGAACCACATAAACAGGCATGCTGATGTGCATTTAAGCCCAGCACTCTGGAGCTGAAGGCAAAAGGAACCAGAGTTCAGAGTCAGCATTGGCTACACAGGGAGCCTTAAAGGCCAGCCTAGGCTACATGAGACACCGCCTCAAAAAGAGGAGCTTGGTGTGTGCAGATCTATAAAAGACCTGCCCTTGCTGCGGCTGCTGCTGTGTGGTCTGCCCACTCATCCTAACTCAGAAGAACAAAGCTTCTGCGCCCTTGTTTGCTGACGGAAGCCTGGGTGCCCTCTCCCTCTCCATCTCTCAGGTTTTCTGAGCCCCCCTCATCACATCCCACTCCGGCACTGCCCCCAACCCCCACACAGAGGACTTCCCCTCTCCCTCATCTCCGACTCCTAGTCCGAGCAATGGCTGAGACTGGCAGCTTGCCCACTGGGTGGCTTTTCTCTTAAACTCAAAAGATCCTGGGCTTAACAGACGACCTTCACCTTCACCTTCTGAAGACGGCTAAGGAGGAAGGGGCTGGGATGTCATTACCTCGGAGAGTTCCGGTGAATACGGAGGCGATCTCACGGCATACAGCTCCAAGAAGTGGATCACACCTTCTTTGGTCAGGATTTTATTCTCGCTTTCAAACATTCTTGTATAAATGCACACGAGCCAGGAGGGATGAACGAGCCAGCAGCCTGCGGGAACAAGCACCCGAACTGACACACACCTCAGCTTTAGATCTCTGTGTGGAGACTGAGGCTCACACCACAAATCACACTGAGCGTGAGAGCTCTGGCTCGGGGAGTTTGTTCAGCACACACCCACAGAGCTTGTAGAACCCAATCACCTCAGTGGTCAGCATTGTGGATGCACTCAGCTGCTGCAGGCACCACGGCACTCAGGACAACACTGGCGCGCGTGCGTGTGTGCGTGCGTGTGTGTACGAACGGAACCTTACATCTGTCTGGGGCGGGTTCAGCTCATTCTCCCCTCAGCTGGCTTCAGGCCATTCTTCATATACAAATCTGAAACTGTCACCCTCTGCCCAGCTTCCCACTGTTCTTGAACTGTGAACAAGACACAGGCTGGCACTGGCTACCCCAGCCTTGCCCGCTCTGCAGACCCACTTTCCTCAGTGCCCCTACCATCCTCACAGAGCTAGCTCCCCATCCCAGGCTGGTCAGCTCCAAGCTCAGAGTTTGTGTGTCACCCCTAGGTCAGGCCCGAGCCCCCCTCACATGAACTTCTTTTCGGTCCCTTCTCTGTTCTCTTCATAGGACTTGGAGCCAAAACTGCTGTTTCATGGGGGGAAAAAAAGACAAAACTCGAGTGGAAAATGCTTCCCAGGCCTCCAGTGCTTGTACACACTGACGTGGAGTAAGAGACCCCTCAAGTGAATGTATAATTGAATCCACAGTAAGAGACAGAATAAGGGCTGGAGGGATGGCCGCTCTTCCAGAGCACTGGGGTTCGAGTCTCAGCGCCACGTAGGGCGGCTCACTCCCAGCTGTAATTCCAGCTCCAGCAAAGCTAACATCTTCTGGCCTGTGAGGGCACCTGCATGCATGTGGTGTATCACATAGGCACATCCACACATTCACATAAATAAAAATAAGACTTAAAAATAGAACATATGTGTACCTTCTATTGATTGTTCCTGATTCATAAAATAGTCTTTATTTAATTATACTATAATTTTTTTTATCTCATTGTATTCTACAGCTAAACTGGTCTATTGTTTGTAATCTACCCCAACATGTTTTTCCAACTCTCCGTCAAGGGGAACTTTTCAAAACCAGTCAATGCTATTTGGTTTGGCTTGCTGAGCGCCACGGGCAAAGCACGAAATGATGCCATGGGAACATCGTTTTAACAGCAAGAGCTCAAGAGAAGGGCAGGATCCCATTACGTGCTGGCCCAGGTGGGACAAGAGAGGCCTGCGGCCTGTGGAAGCTCTCACTGTGTCAGAATACGGCCAGAGTCATCCACAGAGTAAAGACCAGTTCCTCAGAGGTCAGCCCATCAGTGAGGGGACTACCCAGGGCAGCCATCAGTGAGGGGACTACCCAGGGCAGCCACTATCTACAGGGCGCAGCACTCATAAATAAACACATGATAGGGCACCTTCCCATTCCTACGGACAGGAAGCCTCCAGCCTGCAGTTACTGCATCACTGGCTGAAGCTCAACCTCACAAAGCCACTTGAGGAAGCTCCAGGTGTGCTGTGTTTCAGGAGCGATCGAGGGCTCAAAGCACAGGTAAATTCACACCCTTGAATGCATTCACACCCTTGAATGCCCTCTTCCTAAGAACCCCAAGATACCTGAAACAGGATCTACCTCCACCCAGTCTAAAACAAAAAAAAAAAAAATAGATGTGTATTTATATATTAAAAAGGTATATTAAGGCAATTAAGGCTGAAAAGCAGTTAGAAGTATATATCCATATTAGATGGGTATTATTATAAAAATAGCCCTACCACAAAAGCATTGGCAGGTTCTTATTTGTGTGGGTGTGGAGGGATACATGTACATGTGCATTTGTTCCAGCATGGGCACATGTGTGCAGAGGCCAGAGCTGGACATCCGGTGTCTTCCTCAACCCCTCTCCACCTTAGGTATCGAAGCGAGGTCTCCTGCTGAGCCCAGAGCTTGCTGATCTGGCTAGTCTATCTAGCCAGTTCACCCAGGGCTCCCCTGTGTCTGCCTCAGGAATTCTGCGATTACAGGCGGGTCACCAGACCCAAAAGGCATTTATATGGGTGCTGAGGATCTGAACTCTGGGCCTCACGCTTACACACCAAGGCCTTTGCCCGCTGGGCCCTCTCCCCAGCCTGCTCTGCTAAGGACACACACTGAGATTTACAGATGGAATCAAAGGAAGCTGAGCTGCTGGAGAGGGAGCAGCAGAGACCGCACGGGCCCAGGAGACGAGGCTGCCCATTGTGTGTTTCCGCCAGGACTGAGACAGGTCCCGGTTCATCACATATATTCTTTCCTTTCTATAAAGAAGGGAAATAGTTTGAAATTTTTATAATAAACTGCTTTAAAAGTCTAATCATACCTCTAAGTTACTGGAATCTTTGCAGCCATTTAAGCTATGTTGTAAGAGATGGGTGGAGGGTACAGTGTGGACACAGGGCCAGTGTGCTCAGAGAGCGCGTACCCACAATGCCGGAGGCCAGCACCGCTTGCTGGAGGCACTGCAGGTTGATCCCATTTCCTCCTCACTGTTAAACGGTTTTCCCAAAGCCTCTGATAGATAACGGTTAGTTATGAGATCGGGGGACTAATGTTATTAAAGCAAACAAACAAACAGAACCAAAAAGCAATCGTTACCATTTTCCTCTGATACTGCGTATTCAAACAGACTGTTTAGCTTGGGTAAGACTGGCTTTATGACATGTATCTAAAAACAAGAGCAAAGAATCTCATGAAAAATCGCACGAAACGGCTTTGAAACCTCAGGGGAAGGTTCCTGTTTACATACTGCGGCCTTTCTCTCGCTGCTATGTCTGAGGTGTCAGGAGCCTGGTTCCCCAGGTCTGAGCAGCATCAGTGATTCATGTCTGTGAGACCGAGCGGCAAAGCTCCAGACCCCGGTTACAGAACATCCTAACTCAGAATTGTCTGACCCCAGAAGCGGGCAAGGCTGAGAGATTAAACGGTAAATGCAGGGAAGCGCTTACCCTAAGTCCCACCACTGTCGGGGTCACACACTGGGAAGCACCGCGCACTCAGAGCTCAGGGTTCCGGGGTCTCTTAGACCATGCTGTGACAGTTCAGCTAGAGTCTGACTCGCCAATTTCAAAGTAACTTGAAATCTAAGTTTCTAAAATAAATAGGCTTATGGGTTAACTGACCGAAGCAACCCAGCAATCTTATCTGACCTTAGAAAGGCTTCCTAGAGCCCATCCCGCATCTCAGTACACTGGGCACGGAGCGGGGTGGCACGCGAGGACAGGCACCTCCTATTGACATGTATCCACAGACAGGGGACCACACACAGGAACCTTGGAGCTGAGGAGTCTTACACACTGGGACCCTTGGAGATGAGAACCTCTAGGAACCATACAGACAGGAACCCTGACATGCTGGGACTCTCTACACCAGGACGGCTGCACAGGTGTCACCTGGAAACTTGACTAAAGGTCATACTCGTCAGGCCTACTTCAGATGAACTGAACCCAGAAGTAGAGGGGAGGGCCCAGTAATTTGCACCTGGTAACATGCTGGAGCACCCCAACAAATACAGCAGTTGGAGAATGCCAAGGGGGGACCAAGTGAGACTAAATTTCTGCACAATCACAGGAATCCACTGAGAGCATTCTTTAATTTCTTGAAACAATTTGTGTGCTATCTTAAAGTGTATCCATTTCAGGAAACAAAGGATTCGGCCATGCTTATACAGGCTGGCCTTCCCATGAGGCCTGAAAAGGGGCCCATGGGCTGTAGGATTCACTAAGATGGGAGAACACGCACCTGATTTCCTTCTAGGACTTCCATGATCAAGATATAGTTTTCCCAGAACTTTAGAAGCTCGTCTTTTTTCTTCTCAGACCACCAGAATAGGCTTGGACCTAGGAGAGTTTCAACAGGAAAGGAAAATCAGTTCTTTAGCGATGTGGTTAAGGCCTTCATCACAGCTATTCTTAACTCAATTCCATTGACACCAGACAAGGCACCTGCTAACCTGGGAGGGGATCACTTAAAGGGCTTGAGAAACTCAAACAGAAATTTGTTGTCGAATACTCCTTTACCCTGTGTGAAGCTGTTTAATAAAAACTAAATGGTCAATAGCCAGGCAGGAGGTATAGGCGGGACTTCTGGACAGAGAGAACTCTGGGAAGAAGGCAGAGTTGCCAGCCAGACGGAAAGGAAGCAGGATGGGCAATACAGAGTAAAGGTAACTGAGCCACATGAAAGAATGTAGATTCAGGGCTGGAGAGATGGCTCAGAGGTTAAGAGCATTGCCTGCTCTTCCAAAGGTCCTGAGTTCAATTCCCAGCAACCACATGGTGGCTCACAACCATCTGTAATGGGGTCTGGTGCCCTCTTCTGGCCTGCAGGCATACACACAGACAGAATATTGTACACATAATAAATAAATAACTATAAAAAAAGAATGTAGATTCAAAGATATGGGCTAATTTAAGTTATAAGAATTAGTTAAGTACAAACCTACGGTAAGGTAGAGCTTTCATAATTAAAAATAAGTCTCCATGTCATTTTTTCGTGAACTGGTGGCCAAAGCAAAACCTTTCTACAGAACTTCTGTTTAATTTTACTTTGTTGTTGTTGTTTGCTTGATTGACTACTCTGAGCTTGAATTTTTGCTTTTATTTGGGTTGAGGGATTTTTTTTGAGGGTGTCTATCTCAGCAACAGAAAAGTAACTAAGACGGACGACAAGTCCAGAGGTCCCAAGTCAAGAAGAGAAGCAGAGACAGCCAGGGAGGAAGTCACAACTGACAAAGCTCAGGGAAACTTCCAAGTGTGTCGCACACAAGTGAAAGAGGAGACTCCAGGAGACCGGGGTCCTGAACGCCAGGAACCTCCACAGGGAAGCCACAGGCCACCCTTAATCCAGAATCATCCCAACGTCCCAAAACCAACAGTAGAATCTCCAGCTTCTCAAACACAGCTGGATGGACCAAGGCCTTTAAACTTGGATGCAAAGGAGCCTCGTTTGTGTGGCAGGCAGTGTGTTGTCACATAAAATTTGGATAGAAATGTCTCCCCCAGCTGGAGATGGGCTGATCAAACCATCAGTCGAGCTATAGGGACCAAACGAAGATGTGTAGACCATCTCCGCTCTGCTTTGGAAGCAGGAAGCCACATACGAGCATTTCTGCTGGAAAACGAAATAACATATAACCCACAAACCCCCGAACGTTCAGGGGCCATCAGAGGGCACAAGGCCAAAGGACAGGGCTGTGGGCCACAAGCACCATACGGTAAAAGTACAGCTGACAAAAATCACAAGACTAACTCATGGGAGTGCTCCAGTGAGAAAACCCAATTGGCAAAGCTCTGGGACTATTTGTCTTTGGACTGGCCGCTGCCACTTCTGTAGAACCCTCGTGAGGCCGTGTTCCCCGTTCCATAGTGGGATTCATCCCAGGAAAGCCAGGAGTGCATTAATTATTGGGCATAGCTCCCTCATACACTGCATACTGGATGACTGTCCACAGCTGTCCACAGCTGTATGATCTTGACATACAGAATACATACCAGGTACCCTGAACTCCAGAAAAGACCAGGAGAAAGGAAATGATTCTCACTCAGGCATCGGCCAGAACCAAGTTGTCCCTTGGCCTGGAGACCGGAAATGCCAGGCTCCGGATTTTACGCTATAGATGTTATCTCTGGGGCTCAAAGATTCCATTCCCTTTAATTCAGCCAGCAAAAATGCCAATGCGCACTCTGGTTGCCACGGTTACTACAATGCTGCATCTCCAGTAACTGGGAAAGGCAGCGAAAGAACTGCTCAACATTTATCAACTACAAAGTCTAGCTTAACAAGCCACACATGTGTAATTAACACACACACTCCCACTGTTAGACATCACAGCCTTCTAATTCACCCCTTCTCAGGTGTGCCCAGGCGCTTCACAGCCACACCCCGAGACTAACCAGCCCGACTGGGGCCTGCTTTGTCAGTCTCATCTGTCTGCAGCCCTAAAGAGTGCAGGCCTGGTACCCTTGCTGTGTCACAAAGAACTGTTAATTGTGTCTGTGTGGGTGTATAACCTGGAAACCTTGTGAGATCCAGAGATCATCACGGGGGAGAACACAGGAGGAATAGACGGGACACGATGAGATATATGTGAGCTGATCTGTTCCTTCAACCCTCGGATCTCTCTAACCAGTGCTCACTGGCTACAGCGTCCCTCCTGGATCCTGAGAGGTTTGGGGTGCCATAGCATACACACACAATAAATATAATAAAAAGTTCAAATGGAAATGACAGACATGATAACCCATGTAGAAATACCATCATTGAGGCACGTGCTTGCAAGCCCAGCTGAGGAGGCAGAGGCAGAATGGGGGATGAAAGCTTAGGATCCCTGGTCAGCCAGTCTAGCTAAACATTGAGTTCAGGATTCAGAGAGAGGCCCTGACTCAAAAAGTAAAGTGGAGAGTAAGGAAAACACCTTCTGTTGACTTCTGGCCTATAAACACAGTCCAACACATACACGCGCATACACACATACACGCGCACAAGCACGCACACACGCGTGCAAACATTAACAAACCCTGCTCCTACAGTTCCCAAAGGGAATGTCAAGAGACCAATACTTAATTAAGTTCCTCAAGCTTCAAGCGTTAACTTGGGACACACCGTCTTTCTTTAGAATGATACAGGTGTCGACCCTTTTTCAATCAGGATGTCAGGGAATGGAGCAGGCTTGTGGTACAGATCACACTGCCACCATGTGCAGTATCCCACCCTACTCTGGGTCCACGGTTCCCAAAACTCAAGCAGAAATCGCTGTAGAGGTGCCACACGCAGATGGTAAATCAGGACGAGGTGGATGGCCCTTGAAGAGCTGGTTTGGGGAAGCTGGGTGGAGCTGGGGCAAAGAGACAAGCAGGTACCAGGCTGGAGAGATGGCTCGGTGGCTAAGAGCACTTAATGCACTTCTAGAGGACCGGGGTTTGGTTCCCAGCACGCACAAGAGGTAGTTCACAACCGCTTTTAACTCCAGCTCAAGGAGATCCGATGCCCTCCCAGGCACCTACACGCACGTGGTACACACAGGAGCACATACTTTGACATAATTATGTTTAGAAAGAGAGAGAGAAGTGGATACCCATTGTGTCCTGGGGACCGCAGGTACAGTCCATCGCCAGCTCTGCAGACACCTGCACAGCCCTCTGCAGCAGGTAGCGCGCGCGCTTGCGCGTGAGCGCGTCCTGTGTGCAGCCCAGTCCAGCCTGCACGGTTCTCCAGAAGCGGCCGCGGAGGCGCGCGTCGAGGTCCTCATGGCGCGCACGAGCCGACAGTAGTTTCTCGGCCAGCGCGCTCAGCACCAGCAGCTCTGGCCCAGTGCGGCCCTCAGCTCCGGGTCCCGGGGAAGCCAGCGCGTCCCAAGCCGCGCGCAACGCCGGTTCTGCACTCTGTGCCAGCGCGGGCAGCAGGCGCGCGCCCACCGCCGGCGGCGCGTCCCCGGCCAGCGCCAGCTCCACGGACGCGCGCGCCAGGCGACGCAGCAGCGGGGCATCATCGAGGGCGCGCAGACACGGCGCCACGGCGGCCAGAAGCTCCACGGCCGGCACGTTCGGAAGCTCGCGCAGCGCCTCCTCGGCCAGCGCCACTGCCAGTTCGGGCCCTGCCAGGCGCGCGCACGACCGCAGCGCCGCGCTAGCCGCCCGGAGCACGCGCGGCCCCGCGGGCCCTCCACGGGGGGACGCGTGCAGCCAGGGCACCAGGTGGCCCCTGGCCACCTCGTGCGCCGCCTCGGCCAGCCCGCCGGCGCCCGCGCCGCGCTCCTCCAGCCGTTGCAGCACCAGGCGCAGAGTCTCCGCCCGCTCCGCACTCGCCTCCCCGCCGCACAGTGCCCCCAGCAGCGCGCAGGGCTCCCGGCTCTGCGCCAGAAGCGCGTCCGCCAACACCCGCTCCATTGCACGGGCAACCGACCCCCGTGCGCGTGCGCCGGCAGCTCTATGCGCGAGTGCGCGTGCGCAGCGAGAGGTTCCCGCCCACACACTCCCTGCTGGGCGTGGAACCGTCTGTAGTTTCTTCCACTTCGATGAGGGTCCTAGAGCCCTAGGGTGTAGTGCCTCCTGCCACTCTGTCCCTTACGGTTTTTTTTTTTTTTTTTGATTTTTCGAGACAGGGTTTCTCCGTAGCTTTTGGTTCCTGTCCTGGAACTAGCTCTTGTAGACCAGGCTGGCCTCGAACTGACAGAGATCCACCTGCCTCAGCCGAGTGCTGGGATTAAAGGCGTGCGCCACCACCGCCCGGCTTCCCTTACGGTTTTTAGCAAGAAGAGTGGCTGCAGAGACGTTCACTGTAGTATTACACCAGTTCCGGGGATCCTGATTAGGAGAGGTCTGGAGCCGAAATTAGCTAAGAGGCACCAAATTCACATAGATATCCATCGCAGTCCCCCAGTCGGCTCCTTTCAAAAACGCTCCTTTGAGCTACCACAAAGACCCTAAGACAATGGATACAAAATGCACTCTGGATTTACGTGTTGAAAATAAGTCATGAGGGAGATGAGATGGCTCGTTGGGCAAAGTGCTTTCTCTGTAAGCATGAGAATCCGAGTTGGAATCCCCACAGAGGGGTAACTGCCATCCCGCGTGATGGAGACAGGAAGATGGCTGAGGTCAGTTCCAGGTTGAGTGAGAAAACCTGTGGCTTAGGAACTAGTTGGGAGCAGGGAGTGGTGGCACACGCCTTTAATCCCAGCCCTGGGGAGGCTGAGGCGGGAGAACTACCGGGAATTCGAGGCCAATCTAGTCCACATTCCAGGACTAAGAAGAGACACCTAGTCACAAAAACAAACACACACAAGGTGGAGGAAGACACCACACATCAACCCCTAGCTTCTACACACACACACACACACACACACACACACACACGGTGTGAGCCCCCACCTCACATGCTGATACAATACAAATAATGACCCTATCCGCAGAGATGCTCAAGACCACTCCCACAGGGCATTTAAACTACCACCCCAGAAACAGACATGTGGTTTTCGGTCTCTCTTTCCCATCTCCTCTGGGGGGAGGGGGAGAGGACTGGAAAATCATCCAGGAGAGAGTTCTATCCTTTAAACCTGGGCTTTTTAAGTAATATATATATATATATATATATATATATATATATATATATATATAACCTGGGCTTTTTAAATTTCGTTTGACTTGATCTGACTTGGATTGCTGCATTGGCGAAGAGGCTTACGGGGTGCAGAAACTTTTCAGATACTTCACAGTGCCCTCTGCTGGATCCCGCTAGCAAACTCAAAACCAGGCTTCCCTATGTAGTTCTGTGTTTCTCGCAGTCTCCACTGCCTGATTCAGACTCAGACAAAGAAGACCTCTCATCTTGACATGCACATGGCTGCTTTCGCTCCTCACCGAATCTCAGGTTTAACTGAAGAAGTGATGTGGATTCCCTTTGTTTTTGTAGGTGTGAAGTCTGCCCCTTAGTCAATGAGGGAGACTCAGCCCCACCATCAAATAGCTTGACGTAAAATAATATGAATAGTTTTAAAGTTAACTGATACTACAAATGAAAGATTTCCTTCGTGTCTCAGTCGTTCCGTTTGCCTTTGGCAAAACACATAAAAGATTCCATTTTAAACCTATTTAGAATATTGGTAAATATGTATTGCTTAGTCCATGGAAAGTGGTTAGAAATACCATTTCTCTCATCATAAACAGATATCAAGCATAAAATGTTTTTTCTAAAAATAAGTTTTGAGCAGACACTTAACAAATGAAGATGTAAAATGATATGTGCTTGCAAAGGTATCTGACATTTTTAATCATAAGACAAATGTGCATTAAATCCACAAGGAGACAGCCACCCTTTCATGCTCCTAAGGAAGATCCGAAACACCAAGTGAGGGCTGGCAGGATGACAAGGGGTAGAGGTGCTCACTGCCAACCCAGACAACCTGAGTTGGATCCCACGTGGTGGAAGAAAACTGACTCTTCTTGCCAGCTCTTTTCTGACCTCTGTGCTGGGACAGTGTGGCACCCAGTCCTGGGCGCACATTCTCAAATAAATACAGTACAATAAAGTTCTAAACAGTATTTTAGAAAGCCAAATGACAAGGGCCAAGGACGGCAAACTAGGATGCTTTTGCATTACTGGCAGGCAGGGAAATGTTAGGATTGCTTTGAAATACTGTTTCCCATAAAGATACAATATATCTACTTTATGATGTAGCGAGCACACATCCCCATGCCCCACCCATGGTGTTTAAATTGTCTCTAGACTTTAAAAGTCTTTGTAGGAAGCTGCTTTTCGCAACATTAAACTTTGTAACAAGCTAAACCTTCCTCCTCAGAGGACCCTGGATGCACAAATAGCCATTTACAAGATAAGGCCATGGACAAGTACAGAGAGCTGATCACTCATCTCTGCCGAGTTGTGGATAAGCGAGAGATCTCCAGCGGTGTTTGCATCCTGAAGATTCTCTTTGCTGACATTCAAACACCAGCAAAGCGCCTGTTGTGTTAGAGATGAGGATTGCAGTAGCCCGTGGAGAATGTGGAAGGTCCAGGACCCACCGGCAGGGAAGCTTCTAGGGCAATATTTTAATTGGATTCAGGTGCTGATTACACAATCTAACATTTGTCAAAAATGCCTTGAACCCTTGAGAGCTCTGACTTTCATTCTGTATAAATTTTATCTTGATTTTTAAAAATGACTTCTACAAAACAAAAAGTAAGTTGGTCTGTGTGTTTGATCTTTTTACTCATAGACTTAAGCCTGGTAAAGAACATGGCTTCCAGGCCAGCCAGGAGCTGATGAAGGCAGCCAATTTGATAACCTGATAAGCTGATCCCTTTCACCTCTCTCTCTCTCTCTCTCTCTCTCTCTCTCTCTCTCATGTGTAAGCATGAGTATGCGCATTTGTGTGTGTATGCACACACACACGCATCTTTGTGTATATACACATAGAGGTCAACCTCAATGCACTGTTCTTCAGGCCCTATCCTTGTTTTTTGAGGCAGGGTCTCTCACCAATTTGGAGCTTGCCAAGTAAGCTAGACTGGTTGGTTGGGAAGCCCCAGGGGTCTGCCTGTCTCCACATCCTTAGAGCTGGGATTACACTTTCATGCATATGGGTATGTACGTGTACAAAGATATAAATACAACCTGCTGAGCATGTTTTTGGTTTCAGGGATGACCACTTTATATTGGATAGCCAGTTTGGGGACTAATACCCCGGAGAGGCCAACTCCCCTCTCCACACAGTCATTAGTTACCGGTAGCTCTTTGTCTAGAAGTGAAATTCCTCCCTCTGCCCGTTCTTCTTTCTTGAGCTGCTATCTTCCTCTGGGATTCCTTCTCTTTCTTCCCTATCCTTTTGTTTGCTGTGCTTCCCTAGCTCTACCAGTGCCCTCCTTTCTTTCCGCCCATGTTTTCAGAGTGCCATCCACTGCCAAGCTCTGATTCTTTTGTTTTTTGGGTTGTTTGCTTTTCATTCTGTAAATGTCTCCTGAATAACTTGGTTAAAGATATAGTCTTGGGGCTGAGTAGCCCAGTTGGTAGAGTGCTTGTCTAGAATGCATGAATCCCGGGGTTCCATGCCCAGCATCACATACACCAGAGTGGCAGTACATGCCGATCTCTAATCCTTGAACTCAGGGAGAGAGGGTAGAGTAGGTAGAGGCAGGAGGGTCAGGAGTTCCAGGCTGTCCTCTGCTGCATGTTGTTTGAGGCCAGTCTGTCTCAAAAGCCTTACTATAGATTTGATTGGCCTCCCTCCGAATGGTAATGATGAACATATATATGTCTCCTGAGCATTCTCTCCCGGAGCATCCATCAACTGTCAATAAGACATCAACCTTAGACGACACTCACTCCACTTTCCCAGCCCACCCTTAGTGCTGTCCCTCCTGCTGTCACTTCATCGTTACTGCTTTCCACCTGTTTAGGCATGAATTGCCCTGCAAAGGCACACATGTTGAAGGAGTAGTCCCCGGGGACTGGATAGAGAGGGTTCTGGTCTAGTGAATGGATGAAGCTGCTGATGAGGTCCCCATCCAATGGTATGATGGTGGAGTCCCCATCCGATGGCAGTGAGGTGAGGTCCCCATCCAGTGGCAGTGAGGTGGAATCCCCTTCTGATGGCGGTGAGGTGGAGTCCCCATCTGCTTGGGATGTGGTGCCAGCTTTGTCAACTTGAAGAAAGTGCATCACTGGTCACTGGCAGTGTATCTCTGAAGGCTCATCTCTGTCCCTGGTTTCTCTCTCTCTCTCTCTCTCTCTCTCTCTCTCTCTCTCTCTCTCTCTCCATGAAATGAGCACTATTGTCCCATCACACCCTTCCACCTTGATATTCTGCCTCACAGCAGACCCAGAAGAATTGGGTCATCAAGCATGAACCCAAATGTCTAGTACACAATGGGCACAGTAAATTATTGTTAACGAAGGAGCTAAAAATGTATGGGTGTGACGTAGTGGATTGTAGGCCAGCAAGACAGCTCAGCAGGTAAAAGCGCATGCTGCACAGACTTGAGGAGCTGTCTTCATCCTCAGAACCCACAGGCAGCTGGACCAAACTTACTTAAAGCTGTTGGGGAGGTGCAGGGTGGAGTGACTGAATTGCAAATAAGGGTGTTCTGACCCTTTCCACCCTCCTTAGTCTGACCCTGTGACTTGCTAGTCACAGCTGCTTCTGATGAAGACGATGCTGACATTCCACAACACTGTGTTGGTCTGAGAGGCACGCGGAACGGGAAGCCCGCTGGAGAAATGGTTTTTAAAATCTGGGGTGTGTTTGTGTTCTGGAATGCAGGTCAGTTGCATAATGAAAAACAAGCCCAGAAAGGAAACTCTATCTAGAAGCTGGAATTTCGCTGGCCAGAAGGTGGCGCTGTTGCCAACGCCGAGTCCTGCTCAGCTACAGTTGGAAAGAGTGACGAAA